CAGAAACAGGCCCATTTCCAGACTTCCGGTACTTCAGGTAGGCCCGTTTTTTTGCCCTCCCAGAGCCTCTGTCCACACCCTGCACTTACTTGGCATCCAAAATGGGCTGCGTGGAGACTCCTGGGAGGGGTGGGGCAGGGTGGGTGGGGTCAGCCAGTCTTTGGAACAACCGGTTCAGCGAACCAGATTAAAATTAACATTCGGTTTTCCCAAACCGGTCAGAACCAGCTGAATCCTACCCCTGGTCATAAGTGTCAAAAATGATCATAAGTCACTTTTTTCAGTGTTGTTGTAACTTTGGTCACTAAACGAACTGTTGTAAGTGGTGGACTATCTGTATATGTTTTCTAGTTTCTTTTTAAAAAGTGATTTATGACCATTTCCCATACTTCAACCTTTGTAGTAAACCTATGGTCACGTGATCAAATTTTGGATGCTTGCCAACTGGTTCATAGTTATGACGGTTACAGTGTCCTGGGCTCAGCTCATGTGATCTGCTTTTGTGATCTTCTGACGAGCAAAGTTAATGGGGAAGCCAGATTCTCTTAATAGCTTATTAACTTAGTGACTGCAGTGATTCACTTAACAACTGTAGCAAGAAAGGTCATAAAATGGGGCAAAACTCGCTTAACAAATATTTCACATAGCTATATAGATTTTGGGCTCAGTTGTGGCCATAAGTCAAAGACTACCTGTGTATGTTTATGTTCAATGAAATAGTGAACAAAACGTTGATTGTAGTTTGATTTATCGATGGATATTCTCACTTGGTTATTCGGTTAAAGAATTAAACACAGTTTAATAGTTTCATCACATTTGGGCTATTGCGTCTTTTAGTAAGACCAGTTATTCTCTCACTGATCTTGGTTTGTTACTTTTTATTATTTTATAGTGCCTTTTTTTAAAAAAAACTACAGTATTTGCTTTCTTTATTTCAACAAGGGCATTAGATGCTTAGGATTGCTGGTTTTATTTTGAGGGACAAGCAACGTCTTATTGAAAGGAAATCAAATGCACACAATAAATACCAGCCTATGCACCTGCAAGATCCATCATTTTTGTCAAAATGAAGAAAATAGCCTCAGGATGTTGCCGCACAAGCGCCATTCCTTTCATGCACCATGTGACACCATAACACAGAGGTGTCAAACTCACAGCCCACAGGCCAAACGTGCTGGCCACGCCCACCCCTGGTTTAGCAAAGGGGGGAGAAGTTGCGATACGTCACGTGCAGAGGTGGGCTGCAGCTGGTTCACACCGATTCAGGCGAACCGGTTAAGTTTTTTACCAGTTCGGAGAACCAGCTAATCCCACCTCTAGCTGGCCCCGCCCCACCCCTCCACTCCCAGGAGTTCTCCCACGTGCCCCGTTTATTTATTATTTTATTTATTTAATCATATTTTTATACCGCCCTTCTCCCGCAGGACTCAGGGCGGTGCACAGCCTAAGTAAAAACACAAAACACCATAAATTTAAAATTTAAAAATATTAAACAATTTGGCCCAATTTAGTCAAAAACCCCAAAATTAAAATACCTAATTAAAATTCATTTAAATAGTCAGCCCCGCCTGATGGAATAGCAGGGTCTTGAGGGCACGACGAAAGGTATGGAGGTCGGAGATCCTACGTATCTCTGGGGGCAATTAATTCCAAAGGGCGGGAGCCCTCACAGAGAAGGCTCTCCCCCTGGGAGTCGGCAGTCAACATAATTTGACCAACGGCACCCTGAAGAGTCCCTCTCAGTGAGAGCGAACTGGCCGGTGGCTTCCACGGTGGTGCAGAAGGCCTTCCAGACCCAAAACGGGGCACGGGGGATGTCGCACTGCCCCCCCACCCCATTTTCCCTTCTAGGGTGGTACAGGCTTCCAGGCCCAAAATGCAGTGCATTTTGCAACAGAAACTCACCACATGGCACCTGGGAAGATTACATCAGCCAGCAAGGCTAGCTAAGACCCCCACCCCCTGGGAGTCTGACAATCAATCAGGATATTCTTTCTAGGCCCCAGGAAGTTCAAAGCCAGAGAGAGCATAAAACCCGGGGACTCACTGCGTCTTGCCCCCTTTTCTGTTCAGGAACTCAAGCCATGTGATCCTGTCCACCATTAAACCATCTTTCCAAGCAGTCTCCATGTTTCCAGTGTCTTTTTTCCCACTTGGAGCTGAAACCAGAAGGATATTTCTTCCTACACAGGATGAGAACTCAGAGTTTCTAGCTTGATTTCTTAACTACCACAGTAGATTGGCTTCTTCTTTTACAGTTACTCAATAAAAGGCAGAGGGGATCAAAGCAAAAAGGGAAAAAGAGAGTTATTCGGCATCTTCTCAAATAATGTATTTATTTAATAATGTATTTCTTTATCATTTCAATTCAATTAACAATTCTATTGGACTTTTGGCTCGAGACAGGTGCTCACATCTCCTATCTTGATAACAAATGGTATGTTTTGTTTTTGTCTACTGTCTTCTGTGCGTCCTCTCTTTCTATGTATTATACTGAATAATCACTGATTTGTTTGCTTTCAAACAGCATAAGACTAATGTCACTCTAAAGTAGAAATGCAATCTCATATTGACTGACCCATTCCTTCTATTTCCAAGTCTACACAACTGCAAGCAACTCGGTGTGGCATAGAATACACAATAAAGCAAGGTGTAGTAGCAAAAAGCTAAGGAATCTTTGCTTTAAAGGCTTTCAGGCTTGGCAAATAGGGATTTTTCCAAAGTTTTGCCTATGGAGGTCCCTTCTTTGAGGGGAGCATCATCTAGGCACCATCACGCCAAAAGAAATAGCGCAGAAGGGTGTCTCCAACCAAGGAAGCATCTGAGAATATATGAAGCAGAGCTGCGGTCCTGATATCAAAAAAAATTCACTTGCCCCTCTTCGCAGTTGAGACAGAGGCAGATCCTCGTGGGCGTCTCAATCAGGACCAGGTCAGAACGTTCTGATGGAGAAATGGCCATGTATTTCTCTTTCCATTCCCCAATCTGCCTGTGTCTGGTCTGCACATCAACATTTGTTAAGTTCACTGGCTTGCTGGCAACCCCTACACCCCAGTGGTGAAATCCAATTTTTTTTACTACCAGTTCTGTGGGCGTGGCTTGGTGGGCGTGGCAGGGGAAGGTTACTGCAAAATCCCCATTCTCTCCCCACTCCTGGGGGAAGGATATTGCAAAATCTCCATTGCCACCCCACTCTGGGGCCAGTCATAGGTGGTATTTGCCAGTTCTTAGAACTACTCAAAATTTCCGCTACCGGTTCTCCGAACTGCTCCATATTTCTGCTACCGGTTCTCCGAACTGCTCAAAATTTCCGCTACAGGTTCTCCGAACTGCTCCATATTTCTGCTACCGGTTCTCCAGAACCTGTTAGAACCTGCTGGATTTCACCCCTGCTATACCCCATCCTGTTGTATCTCCTACAATAATGTCCCAGAAATGTCGCCCTGATGAGAACTTCTGACAGCCAAGGACATAAGGATTATATTCAAATCTCTTGCAGTCTGGGACATTGTTTATTCCTTTAACTGGCTTAAGTCCTTTGATGCTTTTTCGATCTTTGGAGATTTTAAGGCAGTCAGGATGGACTGTGTCTGCACCCAGAACTATATTCACTGTAAAGGGGAAGGGAAGGAAGAAGAACAAGAGCTTCAGCTGCAGCCCTTATGTGTGTCTTCACCCCCAAGAGTTTAACCCTACGGCCTCTTGTGTGAATGGAGTTCAGCTTTCAAACACCCCCTCCAGGACTAGAAGACTCATTGTTTTTTTTAAACAAAACCTAAGCATTGTCTGGTTAAGGGTCCTCCAACTTTGGCAACTGTAAAATTTGTGGACTTCCCCTAATGGGGCTGCAAGTGTCCAGGTCTCTTCTGCACCCAAGCACTTGAGCTCTTCCACTGTTTTAGTCCCATCCTCTGTTAACTGCCGGTCTGTTCGGCACCCCTCAGACCTCATTATTCTATTCATTTATGTTGCCTTTGCCACCTGCCAGTCCACCCGCCACTAATCTGAACGCCCTCTGGATCCGTCAATTAGTTGTCCCACTCTTGGCTCTGCCACTCAGCTCTTTGTCTCTTGGCTCCGCTGGTCAATTCCCCTGTTCTCTAGTCTCCCATGTGGCTGCCACTCTGCTGATTGCCCTCCAGCTCCGCCATGCTGGATGGAGAATTCTGGGAACTGAAGTCCACAAGTCTTACAGTGGCCAAGGTTGAAGACCTCTGGCCAAGTCCTTCAAACCCTTCATAGTGCTCCACCTCTTCTAGCATCCGTGCACAATTCTTTTTAGCTTTCACCTTGCAGGTGAGAGTAATGAGATGGTGAGTGAAGAGTAGTTGGCTTTGCCTTCATTGATTTGCTGGGTGGGCCAAGGCTGAACAGGGACTCTGCCTGGAGCATTAATCCAGAAGATCAGGCAGAGCAAGAGGCTGCCATGTTTCAATTCTGAACTGGTAAGAGTCAGAAGGATCCCCCAGAGGTAACTTGGGACACACGATGGGATGTGAGGAAGATCCGTCCTTTTCTCTGGGAGCATCAGGATATCACAGGCATGTACAAAAGGGGAGGATCTTGCACAGGAAACCTCTGCTTTCATCAGTCTGATGGCCCACATGGTGGAGGCAACCCTGATGCTCCAACTTTGCTATTTGCTTTGACCCAAAGGACCTAATTTCTCTGCTCCCAAAGACCTCGTTTTTCACCAACTTATATTCAGGCAGTAAAATCAAGAGGATGTTATTAGCTTGGTAGGAATTCTATGTTCCTTTTAGTCCCACTCCATATTTTTCCATTTATCCATATTTTTCATTCTATACCAAGACTGACTTCAATTTTCTAGGTTATGTATACATAATTATACATAAGCCTAGCCTAGCCTAGCCTAGCCTAGGACTGGACTGGACTGGACTGGACTGGACTGGACTGGACTAGACTAGACTAGACTAGACTAGACTAGACTAGACTAGACTAGACTAGACTAGACTAGACTAGAATAGAATAGAATAGAATAGAATAGAATAGAATTCTTTATTGGCCAAGTGTGATTGGACACACAAGGAATTTGTCTCCAGTGCATAAGTTCTCATACATGTTCTCATACATGCTTATATGTACATATAAGCAATAAGTGATAAATCATGATTATAATCATAAAATACAATCATCATAAATCATAAGATAACAACCCTGAGCGATCATCATAGCATACAAAATAAGCAATCAACATAAATCATAATAAGATACTAAATAAAAGCAATCAATACAAACCATCATTTTCATTTTCAGCATGGACTTATTTCCTGAAGTCAATATAAACCATGAGATACAAACGATAAAGTTATAGTCATAAGATGCTAAAGGAATAGGAAAATAGGAAAGATGAGAAGGGTAATAGTAATACAGCCCTACTGGGTGGTTTGACATCCCAGGGCATAAGACAGTGTTGTGGGAATTAGTTGTTTAGCATGATGATGGCATTGGAGGAAAACAATTGTCCTTGTCTCTAGTTGTTTTGATGTGCAATGCCCTATAGAATTATAGGGCGATGAGGAAAACCATCATTTGTTACAAATACAAACACAACTCAGTATTGGAATATTGGAACATCTCTACTAAGGCCTTCCCAACCAAGGGCAGGAAATATGGCTTGCCTTCATTGTTTTTGCCTGCAGTGGAATGCATTGAAAGAAGGTAAAAAATCTTGCAGAGGCAGAGATTCTTGCAGTGGACAGAGGCAACCTCTATCCTCACTATGGTCAATGGGTCAAGGAAGTTAAACATGTGGGAAATAGAAAGTCAACTTGAAAGCTACATTTACTCTCTGCACCTAGAACATCCATCATGGACCACAAGTCAGGTTAGACCAGTTTCAAATCTTGGAGCGATTGCTTGCACAGAGGGAATAGCATGGACTTTCTCTTAAAACAGCCATCCTAACACACCTCGATGTTTTCAACTTTCACTAGGCTGTTCTTTCCAATGCTACACCCTGAGCTAAGATCTCAAAGCTCCAGACCCCACACACCAAGGGTACAGTTGCTTTGAGTGCTGAGAAAGGGCAGCATGGAAGCACGCTTAGAAAGGGCAGGTTGGAAGCATGCTTGGAAGGTGTAGAGGTGGGTCATGCTGCTGCTGTTGTAAAAAGAGAGCTGCCCCCCTTCAAAGTCCAGGTAGACCCCAACTTTCTTCATCTTCCCACAGACCAAGAGGGGCGTACGGGGCTCACTCAGAGCTTGGTATTCTCCCGCCTTCAGCTCAATAGCCCACACCCCTTCCTTGGGCAGAAAATTCAGCTGCTTCTTGCGCTTCACAGACTTTTTGGCCATCCCCACTATCCAATCGGTGCTGTCCTCGACATCGACCTCCCAGTAGAAGCGGCCAGTGGTAATGCCCTTCCGTCCCACCACACACGGGGTGGCGGTGAAGGTCTCCAGCTTTTCTTGCCAGATCTGTTGGTCAGGACTGAACTCGACCCCGGTGGCTTTTTCCACAAGGACCAAGCTGGGATGAGCTGAGTTGGAGTCCAAAGTGATGCTTGCAGGGACTGGAGAGGGAAGATGGAAAGAATTCAGAATGAACAAGAACAGACTTGTGCAGCCGGCTATTCCAGTATAAAGTGGCCCAGAAAGAAATTAGACACAAATGAATGTGAATATTAGCCATCCTCAACATGTCTGAAGATTCCTTTCTCTCTTTTAGCCCAAACTACATTATGATGTCATTATATATAACGGGGTAATTTTTTTTAATTTAATTTTGATTTATATGCCGCCCTTCTCCGGGGACTAATTAGAGCAGTTAAGCAATTATATTTGGAAGAGTTAGTGGTAAATGGAAACCAGGCCATCAAAGAACACGGTGGCATGACACCATCAAAGCTGGACAACAGCCAGAGCATAGAAAAACTCAGAGAAGCAGTGCAAGATTGGAAGGTGTGGAGAGAACTGGCCGATAGAAATCACCAAGGGTTGGACATGACTGAATGGATAACACCATCATCATCATCTTCATCATCACATTACAGGGTTATTGCTGGAGTACATAGCCTTGAACTTCTGCACAAAAAAATAGGATATAAAAGTAATAAACCAATAACCTGTACATTTGGTCTAAAACCTCAACTCACCTGGATGTAGCTCACCCAGGAGCTCCTTCCAGGTGTAGAATTGCAGAGGTCCTTTAAACTCGCCCAGGTTCAAGTCTACAGCCACCACTCCATCTTCTTCCTCCTCTTCTTTCTCCTCTTCTTCTTCCTCTGCTGTCTCTTCTTCTTCCTCCTCCTCTTCTTCCTCTGCTGTCTCTTCTTCTTCCTCCTCCTCTTCCTTCTCCTCTTCTTCTTCCTTTGCTGTCTCTTCTTCTTCCTCCTCCTCCTCCTCCTTTTCCTCTTCTTCCTGTTCTTCTCCCTCATAAACAGCTTCATCAGTCTCATTATCACACTCACCTGTGTCTTCAGTGCTGGCCTCCAGCCCATCTTCTCCTACCAGTGCATCTAGTTCGCGTTCATCCGGACCTTCTTGTTCCTTACGGACCCTGTAGGAGAAGAGCATCCCAAGGATCAGCCATTTTAGAATAAACCTGCCCCAATAGCAATAGCACTTAAGACTTTACAGCCCTCTCTAAGCAGTTTACAGAGTCAGCATATGGCCCCCCAAATAATCTGGATCCTCATTTTACCGATCGCGGAAGGATGGAAGGCTGGGTCAACCTTGAGCCTGGTGAGATTCGAACTCCAAATTGCAGGCAGCCGGCAGTCAGCAGAAATAGCCTGCAATACTGCATTCTAACCACTGCGCCACCATGGCTCTATCTATCAAGCCTAGAGGAATCAGATCGGGTCCTTCTACAGAGAGGTATCTGAGCACTTCTGATCAAAAAACAATGATGCTGCCTTATTATTATTATTATTATTATTATTATTATTATTATTATTATTATTATTATTATTATTATGCCTCTTTAATGGATTTTTTGCACTAAGGGGAAAAAACATGGAAAATACTGGGGGAAAGTAGATTCAGATCTGATGAATACTTCCCAGGGAAGCTGCAAAAACCAGGAGGTGGTGATGGCCATACTATTGCCAAGAAAATGCCCACGTCATCATCAGAAGGGAAGACTCACTCAAGAAAATCTCCACTTTTTCTTTTGTAGTTTTACAGAGATTTTGGAAGTGATTTGGGTAGGAGTCAAAGGGCCAGAAGAACATTTTCCATCCCAATTAAACTTTTTGTGGCCAAATCAACCTTCCTTTGCCTCTACTCCCAAGAAGGAAGAGGAGCCAACTTTATAATTGTAGCAGAGGTTTTTTTTAATGGAAGTAAACAAGTAGCCATCTTCCCTTCCACGTACTGCATGGAGGAGCTTCACCTACTCATTTTGGCAAATCCAGCAGCTTCTGAAAGGTGGAAGAGGAAGTCATGCCTACGGTGAGGAGGCAAAGTAATATACCGGCCCGCGGGGTGCTCAGCTCTGGCCCATGGGGCTTCCCTAGAAACAGCGAAGGACTGGCCCGCGGTGCCTCTGCCAGTGAAAACGGAGCTTGGGAGGGCCGCGCATGGTGACCCTTTTCGCTGGCAGGGGGCTGCGGGTGGCCATCACAGCCGAAAATGGAGCCCGTGGTGTAGTGTATTGAGTCTGCTCCAGGGAGCAGGCCCCCTAGCGGGTAAAGACTAATGTTCTGTTCACAGATTGGCTAGCCGCTTGACAGCTAGTATATAAGAGCTGTCAAGCCAAGGTTCACGGTTCTTTTGGAGTTAGCGTTGCCTGTTAGTTACGATGATTCCTCATATTAAATGTTACCTGTGAGCTGCAGATCACCTCAGCGTCGTTCCTCAGATAATTGTCCAATACGTTTCACGTAGGGCTGCGCGGGACCCCCCAAGCTCCGTTTTCGCTGGCAGCAAAACAAACTACTAACAAAAGTGGATCCCCCCAGCCCCGCTTGGGCCACCACAGGTGCTCCTGACACGAACCAAGCCCATTATGCCTACAGTGAGGAGGCAAACTAATGTAACGTGATGCCTTCCTTGTTGGTTCATGTTTTTCTTCCTTTCATGTATTTATTATATAGATAGTCTTGGACTTCAATGAGACACTGAAGTTAGAACAACGCTGAAAGGAGTGATTTACAAACGGTCCTCACAGTTACAGCTGTTGGTCGTGATCAAGATACAGGTGCTTGACAAGCCGCCTGCATTTACGATAGTTGCCGCATTGGGGGGGGGGGTCACATGACAGCCATTTGCAACTTTCCAAGCTGGCTTGGAGCAAGCAAAGTCAATGGGGGAAGCTGGATTGGCTTAACGACTGCACTGATTCACTTAACAACGGTGGCCAAAAAAAAGGTTGGGGGCAACATTTAACAACCACCTTGCTTATGAAAGGAAATGTTGGTCCTAACTTTGGCTGTAATTTGATATATAAGAAAAGAGAAACACTACTTACCTCTCTAGCAACTCTTTTGCCTCCTGTGGGAGGGGGAAGGAAGGAAGGAAGGAAGGAAGGAAGGAAGGAAGGAAGGAAGGAAGGAAGGAAGGAAGGAAGGAAGGAAGGAAGGAAGGAAGGAAGGAAAAGAAAGAAAGAAAGAAAGAAAGAAAGAAAGAAAGAAAGAAAGAAAGAAAGAAAACGTGAGATAACAGTGAAAATAATTCTTTCCTGCCTTTCTCCTTCCTCCACTTTCCTGCCAAAGCGTTCTGCATTTTAATGGTGCACAACAAATTTTTGCTCTCAGTAGATCATGTCCTAGTTTAAATTATCAGAAAAAAAATCCCGGTGAAATGCTATCACAACAAATATAGAAGAAACAAAAATTGAGGATTGTAGAGTCAGAGTGCTTGAGATGCCACTGAAAACCCAAGGTGATATAAAGCGCATATACTGTACTGATCGATCTCTCTTTTATATAAACAAACACTGTGGAATCTAGCAATTGTTACAGGAAATCAGTTCTTACTTATTTGTTTAAGAAAATGGATTTGGCCACCACCCAACTACTCTCAGTGATTCTAGGTGGTTTATAAAGATTTAAAAAAAAACACACAGAGATTTTGTCAGTCGTGACAAACCCTAATTGAACAAATCTTGGGGCGAGAAGTTTTATATTCAAATATATTTTATTCTTTATACTGTTTCCTTTAAAAATATTAACAGAATCCACAATGGTCTGAGAATCATTGTCTCCAACTTAATTAAATTAGCAAAGTTCCTAAAACCCTGAAATAAATTACCCAGGCCTAATCCATGTATCAAAGGATAAGGTCTGCATACACAAATAGGGATAATTAAATTACAGTAAGTCTCCCAGCAGAACTGTATGTTCACACATACACACACACACATACATACACATAAACACGTAAACACTTCTACATCCCGGATAATCTCCTATAAAGTTTGCTGTACCCCATTTCTCTACAGACTGCCCCTAAAAGCAAATTGTTTTGTTTTTAGGAATAAATATTTCTTTTTCCCTCATTTTTATTTATCCTTGTGCAGCCCCGGCTCAAGTTGGAACCCCGAATTATTCTTCTGACAATGTTTTGGTGCAATCTATGCACCCAGCAATTTTTTCCTTCCCAAGAAAACCCCACAGCCCCCGGTCCTCCTTACCTTAAGGAAACTAATGTGGTCTTTGCATTCAAGGCTGGCCTGTACACGGCACACAGTTTCTGAATGTGAAGCCAACTTGCAGTCCAGTTCCTTTAACTTGGTTTCCATCTGAGCCAAGTTCTTTTCTCTCTGGTTTTCTAAGGCCTGTTTTATAGCCAGCTCTCGGTCGTTCAGCAGCTGGTGCATCTTCATAAACTCTTCAGAGATATGATCAGACAAGGATTTGGAGCAGGTCTGGAAAAACATAGACGGGGCACAGCAAAAGGTTGTGGTTTGGTCAAACAGAAATGATCACCTGTCCACAATGGTGTTGGTTTTGGGGTAGACTCCTGAGAATACCTTGCATAGCGATAAAGAAATAAATAAGTGGACCATCAAACAAATCACCTCATTTGAGTTCTTATTTGAAGCACTAATGATTCAAAACATCCTACTTCGGGCATGTGATGCAAAGACTTAACTTTCTGAAGGAGACTCTTAATACTAGGAAAAATGGAAAGAAAGAGAAGATGAGGAAGAACAAAAGCAAAGATGGTGGACATAGTGGCAATGGGGACACCATTAGAAGATCTGAAAAACCAGGTTAGGGATAAATCGTCATGGAGAAACTCCGTTTTGCTCGGATTTGAGAACTACTTGATAGCATATAATTTATTTTATGTATTTATTGAATTTATATGCCACCCATTTCACTGTCAGGTAACTCATAATCAATCAATCAATCGATGCCACTATAATGATTACCTAAGCAATACCAGCAAATTCATTTTTTTTGGCCTTTTTTATTATAATGTAGTGATAGCACACATATACACACAGATGTACATACATGCACACAAAGAGAATTCTGTGGGGTCCCTGCTGTTCTCCGAGCTTGATTGTTTTTCTTGTAGACATTTCATTACCAAAGTAGGTAATATCATCAGTGCTAGAATGGAGTGCAAATCCCACTCCCTTCTAGAATAGATAATGTTAGCTAGTTGCAAAGCGAAACATCTGCAAGAAAACAAGCAAGTTCAGAAAGCACCAGGGACCCCACCCTTCAAACCTGAGCTACAAATATTCCCTTCTATTGGTACACAAAGTTCTAATTGTAAGAGTGTCCATAGCTTAGAGCCACCACAGTGCTTCTAAATGTTTAAAACTAAATTGAGAATCCTGGGGGGAAAGGGAACAGAATGGAATATCCTGAAAAATGCATGGTTGACAACTTTGGTGACTTGAATGCCACACTACACCATATTTATTCATTTATTGTTGATTTGAATGCAAATCAAATAAGCAGGTAGGTTTTCTTTTCCTTGGACTGAATTGCAGGAGCCTGGATTAAATGCTGACTATGAAACACCTAATATTAAATTAATGAACCGCAAATGGTAGCATCGAAAGCAATAGTTGCTGGGATGAAGAGAGAGAAGATACACTCGGTTTAGCATTAAACAGGAAGTCCCAACCCTCACCACTTCCCAGCTGCACCTTTAATTCGATAATGTTCTCCTGCTGGTGGCACTGGCTCCTTTTCAACCGCCTGAGACCTTCCTCAAGAGGCTCCAGAGATGCCTTCAGCCGGTCCTGAAGGAAGAGAAAGTTTAGATCCCACATAAAATGAACGCCAGCATTTGACTGACTCCAGGACAATTTTATACCTCCAGCCAGGTTCCGTCAGACGTCTGTCCCCCAACCAGCCCTAATTAGCATTAATAGCAGTTAAGAGTGTTTTATACAATGATAGATTTAGTTAGCAATATATTAATTTTTATGTTCCCCGGTATTTATTTAATGTTTTTCTTAAGGAACAGCTGCAATGTCCCAGGGTCACGTGATCTACTTTTGTGATCTTCTGACAAGCAAAGTCAACGGGGAAACCATGTTCACTTAACAACCGTGTTACTCATTGAACAACTGCAGTGATTCACTTAACGGCTGTGACTCTTCAGGAAGTGGGAAATTAATTGCATATATGCGAGATACAGATTCAGTATAACATTAGTGTTTCTCCATGCGCTTCAGAGTGGAAATCTAGCTTATGTTTACTGGTAAATATTTGGGAGGTTTCAAAAGCTTCGTTTCAGTGTCCTTGTTTATTATGACACTTATTATGATTCATATATGATATGAACCCTACTTGTATTTTATCTTGGCATGCAAAATAAGCTGTCTCGAGTAGCCCCACGGTGAGATAAATTTCACAAATTGAAAGAGAGATGAGAGAAAAAGAGACAGAGAGAGGGAGAGGGAGAGACTGAGTGACTGTTCTTCAACCAGAGGCCACCTTCTTTTTCCTCCCAGGTCCAGTTCTCACCTGATAGATCTGAACCGCATTTTTGATGGGCAGGAAGTCGTGTCCCCGGTGCTGAGGCAAGTCCCGGCAGATGACGCAAACGCACTCCTCATCTTGGCTGCAGAAGAGCTTGAGAGGCTCCTCGTGTTCCTCACAGAAGAACCAGACGCCGGAGCCGCTCAGCTGAGCCCTTTCATCCAGCTTCAGAAGCCGGGCCTTCTCGGCCAAGCTGCAGAGGGCTCGGTTCATGTGGCGCAAAGTGAAGGGGTGCCGGCACTGGGGGCAGAGCCCGCTACTTTCCCCAGTGGGGATGCAGGGCTCCAGGCAGGGAGCGCAGAAGCTGTGGCCGCACTCCAGTATGTGGGGCTTGCGAAAGAGGCAGAGGCAAATGGGGCACAGCAGGTCTTCAGTGAAACTGGACACTTCCCGTACTGAAGCCATGTTGGTTGATCAAAGAGAGCCTAACAGGTTTCCCAAGTTAGAACAGCTTCTATTTCTGCCTGTGAAGTGAACATAGTATAATAGGGTTAGAAGGGACCTTCGAGGTGTTCTAGTCCAACCCCCTGCCCAAACAGAAGACCCTATACCAGTGATGGCGAACCTTTTTGTTGTTGCGTGCCAAAAGCGCAGGGGGAGGAGTGTGGGGTGTGTGTGTCACGTACGCTTGTGCTCACATCCATAATTTAATGCCCCCGGGCCCTGCCCCCCATGCATGCGCACGTGAGCCCCCCCGGAGACTCCCCCCAGTGCTCCCCCCCTTTTAGCACATGATGGCAAAAAGGTTACCGGTGGGCCCGGAACAGAGGTAAAACGCTAGCAGTTCGTCCTGGTTCAGGCAAGTGATTAAAACTACCAGTTCAGGGGAACCAGTAGTTAAAAAAAGCTATGGGTTCAGCCAAACCGGTATTTCCAGTGATCAGCTGTGTCGTGCAGCTTATATTTGCTAGAAAGCAGGAAAGAGCCTGTAGTACAGTGGACTAAGCACTGTTATTAACAACTGCTGCTTGCAATTACTGCAAGTTCGAATCCCGCCAGGCTCAAGGTTGACTCAGCCTTCCATCCTTTCTAAGGTAGGTGAAATGAGGACCCAGATTGTGGGGGCAATAAGCTGACTTTGTATAAAAAATACAAAAGAATGAAGGCTATTGCTTAACGCATTGTAAGCTGCCCTGAGTCTCCGGAGAAGGGCGGCATATAAATTAAAGCAAAAATCATAATAATAAAAAAAAATCCTGCTTTCTAGCGAAGCTAAGTCGCGCGGCATAGCTGTTCCACCCCTCGCTGTTCTACTTACCTAGTGAAGTCTTCTTTTTCTGTGCGAAGCATGCATTTAGCATGTATTGTGTATGTGCATGTGCAGCGCGTGTTTGGCATGCAGCCACATGTGCTGGCAGTGAACCGGTGGTGATCTGCGGAGGATTTCACTATTGGCCCGGAAGGCCCATTTTTCATCCTCCCCAGGCTCCAGAGGGTTTCTTGGAGCCTGGGGAGGGTGAAAACGGCCTCTCCCACCCCCAGGATGTCCTACGGAGGCCGGAAACAGCCCATTTCCCGATTTTCGGTGGGCCCAGAGGCCCTGAAAATTTGCTGACCAGCACACACATGCATGCTGGAGCTGAGCTAAGGCAACGCTTGCGCGCCCACAGATATGGCTCTGCATTCCACAGGTTCGCCATCACGGCCCTCTACAATTCCAGACAAATGGCTGCCCTATTTCTTCTTTAAAACCTCTAGTGATGGAGCACCCACAACTTTTAGAAAGGCAAGCATTTCACTGGTTAGTTGTTCTCACTGTCAGGAATTTTCTCCTTAATTCTAGGTTGGATCTCTCCTTTGACAAGTTTCCATCTGTTACTTTTTGTCCTGCTCTGGAGAATAAGTCAACCCTCTCTTGTACAGCCCCTCAAGCAGTGGTGGGATTCAGCCAGTTCGCACCACTTCGGGAGAGCCAGTTGTTAACTTTCTGAGCAGTTTGGTAAACTGGTTGTTGGAAGAAATCATTAGTGCAGAGAATCGATTGTTCAGTTACTTGAATCCCACCACTGCCTTCAAGTACTGGAAGTCTGAGGCGAAGGGGTGTCTGCCATCCCGGACAGATCCACCTTGAACACCAAAGTCACAAACACTAAAACTACTTTTCTTACAGGGTTACAGAAACAGAGTCTGAAGGCGCTTCCTGCCTTCATCCTAAACTAAACCAGGAAGGAGAAAATTGGAGACATTTTCTCCAATTGCATTTCTATTTTGCACACAGGAATTTCTTATCTCACCGTTGTCTGGGCTGCGTCTCTTCCTCCTCTTCCTCCAGGTGATTCTCACAGGCCGCTGCAGGGCAGGGGAACTCTTCAATGTGTCAGACCTGCCGCCACTTAAACCTCTAAATAAAAACCATCCTCGGCTCCATCTGTTGAGAACATCAGGGCTTTATGAGAAGGGCGTTGCAGGAAAGGCGTAGCCAGAACGGAGCATCGCATGCCAAAAACCCTATGTTTAATCTTCCCCTCCCATCACCCACCCCGTGCAACCAATCAAGTTCAGGTAAAATGTTTTTGTAATGGCCAGTTGTGTACAGGAAGATATGCAGGCAGGAGATGCAGAACTTAACTTTCGTTTCCCTACTTTCCTCCCTGCTTCTGAAACTTAACTTTCGCTTTCCCCCTTGCCTTCCTCCCTCCTCCCTCCCCACAATTCATGGCAGTCTGTCCCCGAAGTACAAGCAAGCGGAAGGTGGCAGCTGACACGATCTTCAGGAAAGCTCTTTTTTAAAAAATGATTTCAGCCTTCTTCATTTGAAGAATATTTCAGTGGCCATGAAGCCCCACCCCCCCTTTTTTTAAAGAAACATTTTTTTTACTTTGAAATAAGAAAGGAATCATTCTGAATTAAATCGTTCAAATTATTGTGCATCCCCAGTTCTTTCCCCACAGAACTCAGGTTTTTGGTCTGGTGTGGATCTCTTGCAAGAATGGACAGATGAATGAAAAGATAACTGGAAGAATAATTCCATAGTCCTAAGGATTGTGAGGAAAACAAATTCTTGGGACATCTTAGCAAGATAGAAGCATAGGAGGAAAGTGTGTTAATTGAGGCCTTGCTTTTTGATATCCTTATCAAAACTTCTATGACAACTGATACATTTCTTTTTATTATTAAGACAATAATTCTTTCTTGAGAACAGTAGCAGTAGGTGGATGGGAAAGTAATTTGAGGTTTGCTAATTGTGAATATTCATGTGTACATTTTCTATTACCCATGTATATATAGTTATCATTTTCTCCTCCTTTCCTGAAATGGATACAGGTGGTCCTCAACTTATGACCACAACTGAGACCAAGTTTTCTGTTGCCAAGCGAGACATTTTTTAAGTGAGTTTTGCTCCATTTTACCATTTTTCTTGCCACAATAATTAAATGAATCACTGCAGGTGATAAGTTAGTACCGTTTCCCCAAAAATAAGGCATCCCGATAATAAGACTAGATGGGCTTTTGAGCGCATGCACTAAAATAAGCCTCCCCCCAAAAATAAGCCCTCCCCGAAAATATTTAAACACAGAGCTGGAAATCAGGTAAGACAGCAAGAGGAGCCCCATCTTGCTCCATGCGCCCCAAAATAATAAGACCTCCCCGAAAATAAGGCCAAGCGCTTATTTCGGGGTTCACAAAAATATAAGACAGGGTCAAAAATATTTTTTCAGGGAAACACGGTAACAAGGAGCCTGAGTGGCGTAGGAGGCTAATGCCTCCTACTAAGGCAGCATTTAACATCCAGCTGCCTGCAATTACTGCGAGTTCAATTCTCACCAGGCTCAAGGTCGACTCAGCCTTCCATCCTTTCTAAGGTGGGTAAAATGAGGACCCGGTTGTGGGGGCAATAAGCTGACTTTGTATAAAATATGCAAAAGTATGAAGGCTATTGCTTAACGCATTGTAAGCCGCCCTGAGTCTCCGGAGAAGGGCGGCATAAAAATAAAATTTAAAATTTAAATTAAAAAAAAAAAAAACAAGTGTAGGAAGAAAAATCTGGTCTGGTTCCAATCCAGGAGACAGGTGCTAGAAATAAAATGGAGGCTGATTGGAAAGGACTCTGTTTATTGATGAGCAGAACCAACAACAAGTAGTTCTGGGACAGCTGACAAATTGGCTGAAGGAGTGGATGGATCTTTATAGGTTTCTGTGACTTTAAAATTTTGATTGTTTTTGGGATTGTGCAATGAAGAGGCTTTTGTATCTTTTGCTATTTCAATGGTGGTGGGTTAATCCTATTATTAGGTCCTGTCCTTAGAGTTTGGGTGGCGGAATGCAAATTCTTAATCCTATCAACTGGAGCTGAAGGTGTTTTGTTTGTGAATAGATTGGCCCAATCTTCCTGAATGGGCACAAAATAATCATTTCTAAAGAGTTCAGGCATCTGCTGGGGGCTCTTTTACTATGCAAAAAACTGGGGCTGCTTTCTGCCTTTAAGAGCATGTTTCTCCATTTCTCCTTTGGGGAAATTTAATATTCTGCCTCTTTTGATATTCCCCAAAATATTTCATTCTTGGGGGGGGAGGTGGGGAGGTGCGTATTTACTTCTTACACAAGGTAGGGGATCTTTGAGCAGTTGGCAGCATCCCAAGCCGTAACCCTATCTCCCACTCAGCTGAGCCTTCTGAAATAGCAATAGCACTAGACTTATATACCGCTTCACAGTGCTTTACAGACCTCTCTAAGCGGTTTAGAGCCAGCATATTGCCCCCAACAATCTGGGTCCTCATTTTACCCACCTTGGAAGGATCGAAGGCTGAGTCAACCTTGAGTCAATTTGATCCGCCAAATTGCAGTCAGTCAGTCAGCAGAATTAGCCTGCAGTATTGAATTCCAATCACTGTGCCACTGTGGCTCACTCCAATGCTCCAGAACCTGCCCTTTTTCAAATTCCATCTTTATTTTTCTGGTTTCGCTCTCCCTTTTATTTTGATTTTCAGAGCATTAAGAGCAGTGGTGGCACAGTGGTTAGAATGCAGTATTGCAGGCTAATTCAGCTCACTACCAGTAGTTTGACCCTAACCGGCTCAAGGTTGATTCAGCCTTCCATTCTTCTGAGCTCAGTAAAATGAGGACCCATTTAGGGGGTCCTGTTAGGGGCAACACGCTGACTCGATAAGCTGCTTAGAGAGGGCTGTAAGGCACTATGAAGCGATATATAAATGCTATTGTATTATCCTGAAAGATAGATCAACAGATGGAAGTCTGGGTCATTTATGCATGATTGCTTTCCAAAATTCTGTGGTGCCAGGAAGCATAATTTAAAAATAAATAAATAAATAAATAAATAAATAAATAAATAAATAAATGAGAAGTCAAGATAGCAAATTGGGCACAAAAGTAAAGAAATTTATTTATTATTAAAGTTCTTGCTGGAAATGACAAATCTTTAAAAAGGCATCTTTAGGGAAGGCAAAAACTTAGGGCTTTGCTGCTATTTCGTATATTATCTGGATTTTTGTGGCCCCGATCTTATAGGTCTACATAGGGACATGAGGATAGCTAAGTTACGAGAGTTGCAATAATCATGGTGGTGATGGTCCCTTAGGGCTTAGGTCACGGAGGCCTGCAAGGGAACAACCAGCACCTTGAATTGGACCGGAAGCAAATCGACAACCAATGCAGCTTGCGAAATACACTGAAATATGTCCATTACTGCTCAAGCCACTGCATTCCCTATCAGTGGAAACTTCTGGCTGGTCTCCAAGGGCAGCCCCAGGGAGAATGTGCTGCAGTTGTCAAAAGTTTCCTCACATGTTCTATTGCAGTGGTTCTCAACCTGTGGGTCGCGACCACTTTGGGGGTCGAACGACCCTTTCACAGGGGTCACCTAAGACCATCGGAAAACACATATTTTCAATGATTTTAGGAATAATTTTATGGTTGGGGGTCACCACAACATGAGGAACTGTATTAAAGTACTGTGGGTGGGAGGGGCAGATATGGCGGGAGCAGGGGGCCACATCAGGTTGTGGGAGCGCGCGTCTGCTGGCTCCAAGCGGTGGCGCGCTCCGGCCTCCATTGCTCGCCTCGTTCCCCAGGTTGCACAGACCCTCAGGCCCTGGGCCTTCGGCTGATGCTGTGCAATGCCCGGTCCGTGGTAAATAAAGCCTTTTGATACCATCGACCATGGTATCATGCTGCACCGGCTAGAGGAGTTAGGGGTGGGGGGCACCGTCCTACGGTGGTTCTCCTCCTTTCTCTCTGACCGGTCGCAGTCCGTATTGACAGGGGGGCAGAGGTTGACCCCGAGGCCCCTTGTATGCGGGGTGCCACAAGGGTCGGTCCTCTCGCCCCTTCTGTTCAACATTTATGTGAAGCCACTGGGTGAGATCATCCGTGGTTTCGGGGTGAAGTACCATCAGTACGCTGATGATACTCAGCTGTACATCTCCACCCCGGACCACCCCAATGATGCCCTTGAAGTGATGTCCCGGTGCCTGGAGGCCGTGCGGATCTGGATGGGGAGAAACAGACTCAGGCTCAACCCATCCAAGACCGAGTGGCTGTGGTTTCCGACATCCCGATATAGTCAGTTGGTGCCATCACTGACTATTGGGGGCGAGTCATTGGCCCCCACGGAGAGGGTTCGCAACTTGGGTGTCCTCCTGGACTCACAGCTGTCTATAGAAGAGCACATGACGGCCGTGGCAAGGAGGACTTTTTATCAGGTCCGCCTGATTCGCCAGTTGCGTCCCTTTCTGGATCGGGACTCGTTAAATACGGTCACTCATGCTCTCGTTACTTCCCGCTTGGACTACTGCAATGCTCTCTACATGGGGCTCTCTTTGAGGAGCACCCGGAGGCTCCAGCTGGTCCAGAATGCGGCTGCGCGGGTGGTTATGGGAGCAACGTGGCGCTCCCATGTGACCCCCCTCCTGCGCGAGCTGCACTGGCTCCCGGTGGTCTTCCGGGTGCGCTTCAAGGTTTTGGTTACCACCTTTAGAGCGCTCCATGGCATCGGACCGGAGTATTTACGAGACCGCCTTCTGCTACCAATAGCCTCTCACCGACCAGTACGCTCCCATAGAGAGGGGCTCCTCAGGGTGCCGTCGGCCAAACAGTGTCGACTGGCGGCCCCTAGGGGGAGAGCCTTCTCTGTGGGGGCACCTACCATCTGGAACGAGCTCCCCCCAGAGATACGGAGCATCCCGGACCTGCGCACGTTTCGCCGTGCTCTCAAAACTTTTCTATTTCAGCAGGCTGGCCTGGCCTAACTCTCCTCTTTTAAATTTTTAATTCGTGATTTTATAAATTGGGTGTTTTAATCTGTGTTTCGGCCAAAATATTTAATAATTTTAAGGGATTTTTTAATATTTGTAGTATCTGTATTTTATCTTGGCTGTTCACCGCCCTGAGTCCTTCGGGAGTAGGGCGGTATAGAAATTTGATAAATAAATAAATAAATAAATAAATAAATAAATAAATAAATAAATAAATAAATAAATAAATAAATAAATAAATAAAGGGCCGCAGCATTAGGAAGGTTGAGAACCACTGTTCTATTGGGTCTGTTGTTGTTTGACCATGAACTAACTAACAATGGCTTATTAAGTCTTTGCCTTCTCTTAGTTTGGCCTGATTAAAGGAGGTGGCAACTGAGTCACCCTAGAGACTAGGGTGGTCACAGCTGGCTGAGGCTGCTGAAGGCCTTAGGCCTCTACTTCAAATCCAGTGTGGCGCTGCTGCCGTCACGTCCTGCCCTGCAGGGATGAGCTGGGATGGCTGTGGCTTTGCACCACACTACAATACCCCACCGGCCACACATGGCCTGTGTCAGGACTCCCACAGCCTCTCCCCTGCACTCTGCTTCATGACCCCCACAATCACATGACTGCAACTGGGAGTGCCAGAATTGAGATCACTGAGCAAAGTAGTCCCATAGGCATCTTGCTTAATTACCATTTTGCCCAGTGACTGAGATTCCTGTCCCAGTTGTGGTTATAAGTCAAGACTCGCTGTAAAGTACTATAGGAGATTGTGCCTCAATGCAGAGAACTATCCTCACTACAGTCAACGGGTCAAGGAAATTAAGCGTGTGGGAAATAGAAGGTCAACTTGAAAGCTACACTTATAGCAGTCCCTGCACCTAGAACAACCATCATGGACCACAATAGTTAGGTCAGACCAGTTTCGAATCTTTGAGCAATTGCTTGCAAAGAGGGAATAGCATGGACTTTCTCTTAAAACAGCCATCCTAACGCACCTCGATGTTTTCAACTTTCACTAGGCTGTTCTTTGCAATGCTACACCCTGAGCTAAGTTCTCAAAGCTCCAGGCCCCTCACTGAGAGGGGGTATTCACTGCGAGTGCTGAGAAAAGGGAGCAGCCCTTCATGGAAGCACACTTGGAAGGTGTAGATGTGGGTCATGCTGCTGCTGTTGTAAAAAGAGAGCTGCCCCTCTTCAAAGTCCAGGTAAACCCCAATTTTTTCTATCTCCCCGCAGACCGAGAGGGGCGTTCGGGGCTCACTCAGAGCTTGGTACTCTCCCGCCTTCAGCTCAATAGCCCACACCCCTTCCTGGGGTAGAAAGTTCAGCTCCTCCTTGCGCTTCACAGACTTTTTGGCCATCCCCACTATCCAATCAGTGGCGACCTCGACATCGACTTCCCAGTAGAAGCAGCCAGTGGTAATGCCCTTCCATCCCACCACACACGGGGTGGAAGTGAACCTCTCCGGCATTTCTTGACACAACCGTCGGTCAGGACTGAACTTGACCTCAGTGGCTTTTTGCATGAGGACCAAGCTGGGATGAGCTGATTTCCAGTTCAAAGTGATTCTTGCAGGGACTGGAGAGGAAAGATGGAAAGAATTCAGAATGAATAAGAACGGACTTGTGTAGCAGGTTATTGCAGGAGTATAAATATGGGCTGGCTTAACATATTTTTTAACATATTTTTAATTTTTAATTGGTTTGTTATCTTAAACTGGGGCCAAATTAAGATAGATCTTTTTAATTGTTTTTTAATGTTTATATTGTATGTTTTTTATCTGGCTGTACACCGCCCTGAGTCTCTCGAGAGAAGGTGCGGTATATAAATTCGAAATAAAATAAAATAAAAATAAAATAAAGTGGTCCAGAAAAAAATTAGACACAAATGAATGTGATATTAGCCATCCTCAACATGTCTGAAGCTTCCTTTCTCACTTTTAACCCAAAACTACATTATGGTGTAATTATATATAATGGAGTAATTAGAGCAGTTAAGTAATTATATTTGGAAGAGTTAGTGTTAAATGGAAACCAGGCCACCAAAGAACATGGTGGCTCGACACCATCAAAGATGGACAACAGCCAGAGCATAGAAGAACTCAGAGAAGCAGTGCAAGATTGGAAGGTGTGGAGAGAACTGGCCCATAGAATCACCAAGGGTTGGACATGACTGAATGGATAACATCATCGTCACCATCATCACATTACAGGGTTATTGCTGTAGAGTACATAGCCTTGAACTGCCACAAAAAAAAATAGGGTATAAAAGTAATAAACCAATAACCTGTACATTTGGTCTAAAACCTCAACTCACCTGGATGTACTGCACCCAGGAGCTCCTTCCAGGCATAGAATTGCAGAGGTCCTTTAAACTCGCCCAGGTTCAAGTCTACAGCCACCACTCCATCTTCTTCCTTCTCTTCTTCTTCCTCCTCTTCCTCCTCATCAACGTCTTTATCAGTCTCATTCTCACACTCATCTGTGTCTTCACTGCTGACCCCCAGCCTATCTTCTCCCACCAGTTCAGCATCTAGTTCGGGTTCCTCCGGAGCTCCTTGTTCCTTACGGACCCTGTAGGAGAAGAGCATCCCAAGGATCAGCCATTGTAGAATAAGCTGCCCTAATAGCAATAGCATTTTGACGTATATACCGCTTCACAGTGCTTTACAGCCCTCTCTAAGCAATTTTACAGAGTCATGTTGCAATATTTTCAGGATCAGACTCAATAATTGGTTTGAGAATAAAGCATTTAAATAAAACACTGTTTATTTACAGTAGGCATTCTATATTCACTGAATAATCACAAGTAGAAGCAAAGAGGAGGTACGAACAGCTCCTTATATATACATGGGGCGGAGCAAGATGTGGGAGTGGTGAAGTATGAATACATTAAATGATGGAGAATAAGTTAACCCCTAATATCCCGGTTATATACTATTTACATATTGGAGAATGAGGCATTTACTTGTAACAAATCCCCCTCTAAATGCTGATTCGATATACAACAACAATTACATTCAGATTCGGAACAATATAAAACTTGTAACTTAGATGTTAGGTACTTGTGTTGTTTAGAGGGCAAAGGCTTTGTCAGTATGTCAGCTATTTGTTCTGATGTCTCGCAATGGATTGCTTTAATAAATCCATCCTGAGATAACTGTCTCACGTGCTTGAATTTTATATCTATATGCCTGGACCTTTGTCCAATAGCATCAGATCTAGATATTTCAATAGCTGCCTTGTTATCTTCATGTATGATAAATGGTAATGAAGGTTTCTTCCAAGTATTTGACAATAAATCATTAAACCATACAAGATTGTTGGAGGCTTTAGACAGACAAACATACTCTGCTTCAGTCGTTGAGGTAGCTACTAAGTCTTGTTTTCCAGTGTACCAGTAAACTGGACAATCATTAAGAAAAAATATATAACCAGATGTGCTTTTTCTACATGTGGTATCACCTGCCCAATCCGCATCGGCATAACATGTGAGGATGGGCTCTTTGACATTATTAGGTTCCAATAATAGACAGAAATCCATGGTATTCTTTAAATATCTTAATATTCTTTTAACGGCTTCCCAATGATACAATAAGGGTTTGCTGACGTACCTGGATAATAAATTAAGTGGTAAAGCAATATCAGGTCTAGTCCAATTAGAAATATAGAGAAGGGAACCAATAACTGATCTGTAAAGTGTATTATCCTTAAATTCGGGAGATGATTCATCTATGTTTCTCAGAAAATCAGTTTGCATGGGAGTGTCACAGGGCTTAGCATTATTTAAATTACATTTGTTAAGTAGTTCTATAATCTTATCTCTCTGGGAAAGTTTAAAACCCTTTTTGGTTTTACTGATTTGAACTCCAAGATACTTATTTACCTTCCCTAATGATTTTAAAGAAAAATGTTCATTTAGTTTTGTTACAAATGTCTCTCTCTTCCCTTTATGTTTACCTATGTACAAAATATCGTCCACATAAATTAACACAAATTCTAATGAGTCATCCTCCTTTTTGACAAAGAAACAGTTATCAGCAGTGGTAGCATTGAAGTTCATAGTTTTGAGTACCTTGACTAAACACTCATACCATCGTTTGCCAGATTGTTTCAATCCGTATAGGCTTTTGTTTAGTAACCACGTTTCATTTTTGTTTGTGTATTGGCTATGAGGCGCTCTTACATATATCTCTTTATCGAGTTTTGCGTGCAGGTATGCAGTCTGTATGTCGTATTGGAATACATCAAGGTCAAGGGCTGATGCTATAACCAGAGCTGTTTTAACACTCTCAGTTCTTACTGTGGGAGAGTATGTGTCTGTGTAATCCTCAGGATATTTTTGAGCATAACCCTGTGCAACTAACCTAGCTTTGTATAAAGTATTGCCTTCTTCTAGATTTTTAATTTTATATATCCACCTGGTGCCTATAACAGTTTTATCTTTAGGTGCAGGTGTAGGTGTGAATACATTTAATTTTCGTAAACTATCCATTTCCTTGGTCATGGCTGATTCCCATTTTTTCTTTTCTTCGGGAGGAAGTTTTAATACTTCTTCGTATGTGTTTGGCGTTGATGTTTCGCCATCCATGTACATTATGTAATCTTTGTATTTATTTGGTTTCTGTTACTTCCGATTGTTTTTTCTGGTATACTGTCATTATCATGTAAATATCTAGCTTCCTTTTTTGTTAATGAATCTGTTTTTATTTTGTGTTGACTGTTTGTCCATGTCTTAGTTTTGTTTTTAAGTGTATTGTGATTACATTCTTCACTAGTTATTTTATCCTGATGTTCGGTGTCTGGGCTTGTAATTGGGAATATTTCATTGAGATGTATTTTAGACCAGTTGGCCTGTTCATGAAATACTGCTGTTCTAGAAATCACAAATTTGTTATTATTATCAATAAATCTGTACCCTTTTGTGCCTGTTTCGTATCCCATGAACCTAAGTCTTCTGGATACGTTTTCTCCTTTACGTCTCAATTGTTTTGGTATGTGTACATCCGCAGTGACCCCAAATATGTGCATGTGTGCTATTTTGGGTTTCCTATTGTACATTAGTTCATACGGTGTCTTGTTTATGATGCTGGACCAAGTTCTATTTTGTGTATAATTGGAATATTGTAATGCTTCTGACCAGAATTGTTTACCTAAGCCAGCATCTTCTAGTGTGCATCTAATCATGGTTTGTAATGTTGAGTTTTTTCTCTCTACCACTCCATTTTGGAATGCAGAGAAAGGACTAGATGTGAAATGCAGCATCCCTTTGTTTTTCAGCCATTGGGAGAATTCTTTTGACATGAATTCAGATCCCCTATCTGTCATAATTTGTTTAATTTTGATATTATGTTGTGTTTCCACACGTTTGTAAAATTCTTTAAATTTCTGGAAGGTTTCATCTTTGTGCTTTAAAGTATAGACAAACCCATAACGACTATAGTCATCCACAATGGTTAGAAAATAACGTTTTCTATATGTGATTGATGGTGTTAGTGGGCCAACTAAATCCATGTGTACCAAATCAAAAATTTGATTGGTTGATCTTGTTGCCTTTTTTGGTTTGGGATTAGTTCTGAGTTTTGTGGATTTACATACTGAGCATTCCAAATAGTTTTTACAATTTTTTATTTTAACACCTTCAGCATGTTCAATCATCTTTTGTACTACAGGAAAACTAGCATGTCCTAGTTTCCTATGTAAGACATGTGCACATTCATCATGAATTGGTTTTCCAAGTTTGGGTTTTTTGTCATTGGATGTGTTACTAGCAGATGTGTCTTTGTGACTATGAAATGTCTCATGTACCTCATTATCACTATTGCTATTGTCTCCATTATCTATGTCATTGTTTTCTTCCATGTTAGAATCAATATTGTGTAACCATCTTTCTTTTGTGATTAAATATGGTAGGCCTCCTTTGATAACCACACTACCTACATTTATCTTGTTTCTCTCTAGTGTTGCTCTTCCTTTTGAAAATACTATATTTATGTCAGAATCTCTACTTAGTTTTATTGCACTAAGTATGTTATGAGGTATTTCTGGTATTAGCAATACCCCCTCTATTTTTCCTAGACCGGGTAAGTTTATATTACCTCTACCAATGACTTGTACTTTTTCTTGATTAGCTACTTTGATTACAAATTTATCTTCTATAAATGAAGACAATATGCTTTTGTTATGTGTAGTGTGATTAGTTGCTCCAGAATCGATAAGCCAATCGTTATCCTCTGAATGTTGTGTGCCAGTTGTGTTATGTTTGTTTAATCCATTTAGTGAACCAGATCTTCTATCTTTTGAATTGTCCCTGCCCCCTCTATGTTCTCTATAGTTGGGTGGACTTCTATATCTATGTCTATCAATGGATGATTGTCTGTTATGATATCTATTTCTATAGTCATTTTTCTGTCTTTCTCTAAGAAATTTAGGACAATCTCTTCTATTATGTTCCTTGGATCCATAGTTGTGGCATCCAATTGGTTCATGATACCTTTCTTGGAATGCTACCTTTTTATATTGTTTATGTTCTAAATGATTGTTACAACGACTCCTTCTTGAATTATCTTCAGCTATCAGCTTATTTGATAAATTTTCTATTGATAAATATCCTAAATTGATTGTGTCTAAATGTGACATATAACTATCCCATGATGGGTCTAGTGAGTTAATGATAACACTTTTCATTGTTTGATCTGAAATTATCTCTCCCCTTAAATGTAGTTCTGCTCTGATTTTGTTTAAAGATATTAAATGCTCACTTATAGTAACCCCTGGCTTTATCCTATCTGAGAATAAATCTTTAGACATTCTTGTGGTAGTTGCTACACTTTCACTGTGAAACAATTTAAACATGCATTGAATAATTTCTGAAACAGTTAGATTTTGCTTAATACTATGGTACATAATAGGAGATATACTGGAAATTAATAAGAAAAATGCTCTATGGTGTAGGCAGTCCAATTTTAGAGTCCAAGGTCTTTTAGGGGGGTTAGTAATAAAAAATAATAAGTTTTCTTTTAGAAAGACAACCTGAAGCTGTTGACACCATTCTTGCAAATTAATACCATCTATTCTCAGTTTTGGGAAATCATTGGGTAAATTCCCAATATTGTTAGGTCCATTACTTACAACTGGGGGTAGTCCGTGATCTTGCAGGTGTTGATAGTTGCAGAATGGCGTGGGTATGCTCGCAACAAGTCTGAATGGCTCTCTCTGTTCCTCATGTCCTCCGAAGCTGTCTGCGTAGTTTCGCACATGCGCGTTGTTCATTTCGCTTCTGGAGCTGTCGGGAGAGGTTCTCGCTGCTGCAGCTCCCTCGTAGCATTCTTCTTCTGATGAGTCGGTCTCCGGCTCGATCTTGGGAGTCCAGGTGACAGCCGGCGTTGCTTTCTTTCATTGAGATCGCTGGTCCCTGGGATCGTCTGTGGTGTGGTGTGGAATCTGCAGGGCTCTCTGGGTTCAGGTGTCGGTGCTCTCGTCGTCTGAATAGAAGCGGGCGGATTCTGAGTCGTCTGCTTGCTTGTTTGCCTTTTCTTTATTTTTCGATTGTTATCTTTTGTTGATTCTTTTGTGATTTTCAGTTTCGGTCCAAATGCTGCAAAAAGCGTTTTCATTGCTGATTCTATTTGCATTTCTATCGAGGTTTCCTCGGTGTCTGATTCTTCTGAAGAGTAAATTTCTTCACTTTTATTTTTTGCATTGTGTAAAGTCTTTCGCGCCAGATATTTTGAATTCTGCTTTCTGATTGGCTCTGCTTCGCTCATCTTAGTGGTCTGTTGGAACCAAGATGGCTGCCGTTCAAAATTTTGTGTGGGACTGTTAGTCTTCTTATTTGCTATATTCTTATCTATAGGCAGTTCGCTCACCATTTTTGAATCTTTAGGTTCATCTGTTACGATGTGTTTCTCTCTCGCTGCTCCGTTGTTTTTTATTATGTCTTGGAAGTTCGCGATGAGATTTTCGTCATTCTTTTGACTTTTCAAGAGTCTCAGTATCTCTGACCTGAGTTCGTTGTTTTCTATCTCGTTTTCCTCTTGGTCATCAGTTTCATCCATTATTTCTTCGCTGTCTGTAGTACAGTCTTCAGATTCTCTCGATATTGCTGTTGTGGATTCATCGATCATTTCTTGGTCTGCTTCCATTTCTTTACTGTGTGCCCTGGTGTTGGGTCTTTCGCTTTTGTTTTTGGAGTTTTCTCTCTTAGGCATATTTAAAGTTTTATTGAGTCAATTCAACCATCCTCTGCTACCAGATTGTGGCAATATTTTCAGGATCAGACTCAATAATTGGTTTGAGAATAAAGCATTTAAATAAAACACTGTTTATTTACAGTAGGCATTCTATATTCACTGAATAATCACAAGTAGAAGCAAAGAGGAGGTACAAACAGCTCCTTATATATACATGGGGCGGAGCAAGATGTGGGAGTGGTGAAGTATGAATACATTAAATGATGGAGAATAAGTTAACCCCTAATATCCCGGTTATATACTATTTACATATTGGAGAATGAGGCATTTACTTGTAACAAGTCAGCATATGGCTCCCAAATAATCTGGGTCCTCATTTTACCTACTGTGGAAGGATGGAAGGCTGAGTCAACCTTGAGCCTGGTGAGATTCAAACTGCCAAATTGCAGGCAGCCGGCAGGCAGCAGAAATAGCCTGCAGTACTGCATTCTAACCACTGCGCCACCATGGCTCTATCTATCAAGCCTAGAGGAATCAGATCGGGGTCCTTCTACAGAGAGATATCTGAGCACTTCTGATCAAAAAAGAATGATGCTGCCCTATTATTTATTGGTTAATCTTTAGTGAAATTCACAGCCTTTGAGGCTGGTTAATAGCTCAGCAGCTCGAGTCCTAACCAAGGACCTAGGAACTGTTAAGATATCGTCGGAGGATGTAAGCTGTTCCAAGTAAGGTGGTTTTTTGTAGAGTCAAAATGTTCAAGTCCGGCAAATTTAGAATTTCTAAATAGCAGGGTAGCCCTTTGGGTATTGCTCCAAGGGCTCCAATTACAATCAGGACAACACACGATTTCTTTTTCCACAGTCGCTCAACTTCAATTTGCAAATCCCGGTACTTTGTGATTTTTTCTTGCTGCTTATCTTCAATCCGTGCATCACCAGGTATTGCAATGTCAATGAACCATACTTTTTTCTTTTCAACTATTGTTATGTCAGGTGTGTTGTGGACCAAGTGCCTGTCAGTCTGAATCCTAAAGTCCCACAAGATCTTGAGTTTCTCATTCTCTAAAACTTTCTCAACCTGATGTTCCCAGTGGTTTTTGCTGTACTCAAATCCAAACTTCTGGCACAATTTCCAGTGAATGATCTTAGCAACATGGTCATGGCGTTGTAGGTAGTCAGTTTGTGAAATTTTGCTGCACCCACTGATCAGGTGGTCAACTGTCTCCTCTTTCTCATTGCAGAGGCGGCATTTGCTGTTGGTGGTAACATGTTGAATTTTTGCCTTCATGCAGTTTGTGGCTAGGGCTTGTTCTTGAGCTGCCAAAATAAAGCTTTCTGTTTCTTTTTTCAGTACTCCTGATCTTAACCAGTTCCAAGTTACTTTCTGGTCAGCTTTGCCTTCAATACTTTTCAAGTATTGGCCATGCAGAGCTTTGTGTTTCCAATTTTCAGCTCGCTGCTCAATTACTTCTTTCTTATATTCTGCTTTTGTTTTAGTTGTCTTTAAAAGGCCTCCTTTATTTACTTCCTTAATCATTGGTTCTTCACTTTTCTGGATGTAATCATTCAAGCTGCATTTTTCTTCTTCCATAGTCTGCTTTACTTGTAGGAGTCCTCAACCACCCTCTGCTCTTGGTAAATATAATTGGTCAACATCACTTTTAGGGTGCAAGGCATGATTCATTGTCATAAGCTTCCTTGTTTTTCTGTCCAAATTGTCTAACTCCATCTGGGTCCAGTCAATTATTCTTGCAGAGTATCTAATCACAGGTATAGCCCAGGTATTTATGGCTTTTATGATGTTTCCTCCACTCAATTTGGACATTAATATCTTACGAATTCGCCGAATGTATTTGGCTGAAGTTAATTCCTTGACTTTATTATGCATTAAGTCAGAGGCTTCTAAAATCCCCAAATACTTGTAGCCTTCTTCTGATTTTACTGCCTTTATCATTTCTTCATTCTCTAGTTCTATTCCATCCTCTTCTATGATTTTGCCTGCTTTGGTTGCTATTGTTGCACATTTGTCAATTCCAAACTGCATACCAATGTCTTGGCTGAATTCTTTTGTGTTTTCAATTAATAAATTAAGTTCAGCTTTTGTTTTACCAAACAGCTTCAAATCATCCATGTACATCAAGTGCGAGATTTTCAGTCCTTTCTTCTTCTTCTTCTTCTTCTTCTTCTTCTTCTTCTTCTTCTTATTATTATTATTATTATTATTATTATTATTATTATTATTATTATTATTAGCCTCTTTAATGGATTTTGTGCACTAAGGGGAAAAACATGAAAAATACTGGGGGAAAGTAGATTCAGAGCTGATGAATACTTCCCATGGAAGCTGCAAAAACCAGGAGGTGGTGATGGCCATACTATTGCCAAGAAAATGCCCACGTCATCATCAGAAGGGAAGACTCACTCAAGAAAATCACCACTTTTTCTTTTTGTAGTTTTACAGAGTTTTTGGAAGTGATTTGGGTAGGAGTCAAAGGGCCAGAAGAACATTTTCCATCCCAATTAAACTTTTTGTGGCCAAATCAACCTTCCTTTGCCTCTACTCCCAAGAAGGAAGAGGAGCCAACTTTATAATTGTAGCAGAGGTTTTTTTTTAATGGAAGTAAACAAGTAGCCATCTTCCCTTCCGTATACTGCATGGAGGAGCTTCACCTACTCATTTTGGCAAATCCAGCAGCTTCTGAAAGGTGGAAGAGGAAGTCATGCCTACAGTGAGGAGGCAAAGTAATATACCCTGCATCAGGAGTGTCAAACTCAAGGCTTGCAGGCTGGATCCGGCCCGCAGGGTGCTCAGCTCTGGCCCATGGGGCTTCCCTAGAAACAGCGAAGGACTGGCCCGCGGTGCCTCTGCCAGTGAAAACAGAGCTTGGGAGGGCTGCGTGCGGTGACCCTTTTCGCTAGCAGGGGGCTGCGGGTGGCCATCACAGCCGAAAATGGAGCCCGTGGTGTAGTGTATTGAGTCTGCTCTGGGGAGTAGGCCCCCTAGCGGGTAAAGACTAATGTTCTGTTCACGGATTGGCTAGCCGCTTGACAGCTAGTATACAAGAGCTGTCAAGCCGAGGTTCGCGGTTCTTTTGGAGTTAGCGTTGCCTGTTAGTTACGATGGTTCCTCATATTAAACGTTACCTGTGAGCTGCAGATCACCTTAGCATTGTTCCTCAGATAATCGGCCAATACGTTTCATGTGGGGCTGCGCGGGACCCCCCGAGCTCCATTTTCACTGGCAGCAAAACAACTACTAGCAAAAGTGGATCCTCCCCAGCCCTGCCTGGGCCACCACAGGTGCCCCTGATATGAACCAAGCCTATTATGCCTACAATGAGGAGGCAAACTAATATAACGTAATGCCTTCCTTGTTGGTTCATGCTTTTCTTCCTTTCATATATTTATTATATAGGTAGTCTTGGACTTAGCAACCATTCAATGAGACACCAAAATTACAACAACGCTGAAAGGAGTGATTTACAAATGGTCCTCACATTTACAGCTGTTGGTCGTGAGGTGCTTGACAAGCCACCTGCATTTACGATAGTTGCCGCATTGGGGGTGGTGGTCACGTGACGGCCATTTGCAACTTTCCCAGCTGGCTTGGAACAAGCAAAGTCAATGGGGGAAGCTGGATTGGCTTAACGACTGCACTGATTCACTTAACAATGGTGGCAAAAAAAAAAAAAGGTTGGGGGCAACATTTAACAACCACCTTGCTTATGAAAGTAAATGTTGGTCCTAACTTTGGCTGTAATTTGATATATAAGAAAAAAGAAACACTACTTACCTCTCAAGCAACTCTTTTGCCTCCTGTGGGTGGGGAGGAGGGAGAAAAGGAAGGAAGGAAGGAAGGAAGGAAGGAAGGAAGGAAGGAAGGAAGGAAGGAAGGAAGGAAAAGAAAGAAAGAAAGAAAGAAAGAAAGAAAGAAAGAAAGAAAGAAAGAAAGAAAGAAAGAAAGAAAATGTGAGATAACAGTGAAACTAATTCTTTCTGTGGATAATCACCCACTTTCCTGCCAAAGCGTTCTGCATTTTAATGGCACACAAACAGATTCTACTCTCAGTAGATCCTCAGCCGAGTTTATTATCAGGAAAAAAATCCCAGTGAAATGCTATCACAACAAATATAGAAGAAACAAAAATTGAGGACTGTAGAGTCAGAGTGCTTGAGATGCCACTGAAAACCCAAGGTGATATAAAGCGCATATACTGTACTGATCGATCTCTCTTTTATATAAACAAACACTGTGGAATCTAGCAATTGTTACAGGAAATCAGTCCTACTTATTTTATTTGTTTAAGAAAATTGATTTGGCCACCCAACTGACTCTCAGTGATTCTGGGTGGCTTAGAAAGATTTAAGAAAAAACCACAGAGATTTTGTCAGTCGTGATAAACCCTAACTGAACAAATCTTGGTGCAAGAAGTTTTATATCCAACTATATTTTATTCTTTATACTGTTTCTTTTAAAAATATTAACAGAATCCACAATGGTCTGAGAATCATTCTCTCCAATTTAATTAAATTAGCAAAGTTCCTAAAACCCTGAAATAAGTTACCCAGGCCTAATCCACGTATCAAAGGATAAGGTCTGCAAACACAAATAGGGGTAATTAAATTACGTAAGTCTCCCAACAGAACTGTATGTTCACACACACACACACACACACACACACACCTCAGCACGTAAACACTTCCACATCCCGGACAATCTCCTATAAAGTTTGCTGTACCCCATTTCTCTACAGCCTGTCCCTAAAAGCAAATTGCTTTGTTTTTAGGAATAAATCTTTCTTTTTCCCTCATTTTTATTTATCCTTGTGCAGCCCCGGCTCAAGTTGGAACCCCGAATTATTCTTCTGACAATGTTGTGGTGCAATCTATGCACCCAGCAATTTTTTCCTTCCCAAGAAAACCCCACAGCCCCCGGTCCTCCTTACCTTAAGGAAACTAATGTGGTCTTTGCATTCAAGGCTGGCCTGTACACGACAAAGAGTTTCGGAACATGAAGCCATCTTGCAGTCCAGTTCCTTTAACTTGGTTTCCATCTGAGCCAAGTTCTTTTCTCGCTGGTTTTCTAAGGCCTGTTTTATAGCCCGCTCTCTGTCGTTCAGCAGCTGGTGCATCTTCATAAACTCTTCAGAGATATGATCAGACAAGGATTTGGAGCAGGTCTGGAAAAACATAGACGGGGCACAGCAAAAGGTTGTGGTTTGGTCAAACAGAAATGATCACCTGTCCACAATGGTGTTGGTTTTGGGGTAGACTCCCGAGAATACCTTGCATAGCGATACAGAAATGAATAAATGGACCATCAAATCAACTCATTTGAGTCCTTATTTGAAGCACTAATGATTCAAAACATCCTATTTCGGGCATGCGATGCAAAGACTTAACTTTCTGAAGGAGACTCTTAATACTAGGAAAGATGGAAAGAAAGAGAAGATGAGGAAGAACAAAACCAAAGATGGTGGACATAGTGGCAATGGGGGCACCATTAGAAGATCTGAAAAACCAGGTTAGGGATAAATCGTCATGGAGAAACTCCGTTTTGCTCGGATTTGAGAACTACTTGATAGCATATAATTTATTTTATGTATTTATTGAATTTATATGCCACCCATTTCACTGTCAGGTAACTCATAATCAATCAATCAATCGATGCCATTATAATGATTACCTAAGCAACACCAGGAAATTCATTTTTTTGCCTTTTTTATTATAATGTAGTAATAGCACACATATACACAAAGATGTACATACATGCACACAAAGAGAATTCTGTGGAGCCCCTGCTGTTCTCCGAGCTTGATTGTTTTTCTTGTAGACATTTCATTACCAAACTAGGTAATATCATCAGTGCTAGAATGGAGTGCAAATCCCACTCCCTTCTAGAATAGATAATGTTAGCTAGTTGCGAAGCGAAACATCTCCAAGAAAACAAGCAAGTTCAGAAAGCACCAGGGACCCCACCCTTCAAACTTGAGCTACAAATATTCCCTTCTATCGGTACACAAAGTTCTAATTGTAAGAGTGTCCATATCTTAGAGCCACCACAGTGCTTCTAAATGTTTAAAACTAAATTGAGAATCCTGGGGGAAAAGGAAACAGAATGGAATATCCTGAAAAATGCATGGTTGACAACTTTGGTGACTTGAATGCCACACTACACCATATTTATTCATTTATTGTTGATTTGAATGCAAATCAAATAAGCAGGTAGGTTTTCTTTTCCTTGGACTGAATTGCAGGAGCCTGGATTAAATGCTGACTATGAAACACCTGATATTAAATTAATGAGCCGCAAATGGTAGCATCGAAAGCAATAGTTGCTGGGATGAAGAGAGAGAAGATACACTTGGTTTAGCATTAAACAGGAAGTCCCAACCCTCACCACTTCCCAGCTGCACCTTTAATTCGATAATGTTCTCCTGCTGGTGGCACTGGCTCCTTTTCAACCGCCTGAGACCTTCCTCAAGAGGCTCCAGAGATGCCTTCAGCCGGTCCTGAAGGAAGAGAAAGTTTAGATCCCACATAAAATGAACGCCAGCATTTGACTGACTCCAGGACAATTTTATACCTCCAGCCAGGTTCCGTCAGACGTCTGTCCCCCAACCAGCCCTAATTAGCATTAATAGCAGTTAAGAGTGTTTTATACAATGATAGATTTAGTTAGCAATATATTAATTTTTATGTTCCCCGGTATTTATTTAATGTTTTTCTTACGGAATTTTTGTAGAGTCAGTCTCCCTCTCTCTCTCCCTCTCTCTCGCTAAGTGAGAAATTTGTTACATAAATTTTGTCCCATTTTACGACCTTTCTTGCTACAGCCGTTAAGTGAATCACTGCAGTTGTTCAATGAGTAACACGGTTGTTAAGTGAACATGGTTTCCCCGTTGACTTTGCTTGTCAGAAGATCACAAAAGTAGATCACGTGACCCTGGGACATTGCAGCTGTTCCTTAATATGAACCACTTGCCAAGCATCCAAATGTAAATCACGTGACCATAGGGATGCTGCGATGGTCATAACTGTAAAAACAGTCATAAGTCACTTTTTTCAGTGCCATTGTAACTTTGAACAGTCATTAAACAAATGATGGTGCATAATCAACCAATTGATCAACCTAGACCGGTGTTTCTCAACTTTACCAACTGGGAATTCTGGGAGTTGAAGTCCACACATCTTAAAGTTGCTAAGATTGACAAACGCTGATCTAGACAGTGCCTTGAAACTGACTAGTCCATAATGGCTTAGCTAATGCAACTGAAAGTGTAATTGAAAGGTATTGTAGAAAGTTAGCACACCCCCCACTCCAAGTAGAATGAACTATTCTAAGAAATATTAAAAAGGTAGAATATTATACCTCCCTGGATGAATAAAGGAGAAACATGCTCTTGGAAAGCAGCCCCCACCTTTGTTAATAGCCCCAGAAAGACTGGGCCATCCTATTTACAAGACAAAAGGCCTTCAGCTCCAGGGTGATAGGATTAATCCTCACTCAAGATCCAAACCAGGAGAAAGCCATTAAGCCATAATAGGAATTGCCCAAAGCCCCTTCATTACATCATCACCCAGCAAGATTCAACCAAGCCTGGGACACAGACAGCCTAGAAGGTTAGCTGTGAGCCCCGCATAGCCTCCTGGGAGCCTGACAGCCAATAGAATACCTGCCCTTACCACAGGAACAGGAAGCTCAAGTTCAAAGCCCAAGAGAGGCTTTGAAGCCCTGGAGGGAAATTCCTTTCCCAATGATGCTGCTCCCCATATAATGTCCTTAACCTAATGTTTCACTCCCAACCAATTCTCAGAACTAAACCTTCCTCCAAATAGAAGTCATCCAACAGGTAAACAAATCCAGATGCCAGAAGATGCCAGCAGCAGATCCCAAAACTCTTGCCCTTTCCAGCCTCCTAGTGGTTCATAGATCAAATAGTGACTCTTCAGGAAGTGGGAAATTAATTGCATATATGCGAGATACAGATTCAGTATGACATTAGTGTTTCTCCATGCGTTTCAGAGTGGAAATCTAGCTTATGTTTACTGGTAAATATTTGGGAGGTTTCAAAAGCTTCGTTTCAGTGTCCTTGTTTATTATGACACTTATTATGATTCATATATGATATGAACCCTACTTGTATTTTATCTTGGCATGCAAAATAAGCTGTCTCGAGTAGCCCCATGGTGAGATAAATTTCACAAATTGAAAGAGAGATGAGAGAAAAAGAGACAGAGAGAGGGAGAGGGAGAGACTGAGTGACTGTTCTTCAACCAGAGGCCACCTTCTTTCTCCTCCCAGGTCCAGTTCTCACCTGATAGATCTGAACTGCGTTTCTGATGGGCAGGAAGTTGTGTCCCTGGTGCCGAGGCAAGTCCCGGCAGATGACGCAAACCGGCTCCTCATCTTGGTTGCAGAAGAGCTTGAGAGGCTCCTCGTGTTCCTCACAGAAGAACCAGACGCCGGTGCCGCTCAGCTGAGCCCTTTCATCCAGCTTCAGAAGCCGGGCCTTCTCGGCCAAGCTGCAGAGGGCTCGGTTCATGTGGCGCAAAGTGAAGGGGAGCCGGCACTCAGGGCAGAGCCCGCTACTTTCCCCTGTGGGGATGCAGGGCTCCAGGCAGGGAGCGCAGAAGCTGTGGCCGCACTCCAGTATGTGGGGCTCGCGAAAGAGGCAGAGGCAAATGGGGCACAGCAGGTCTTCGGTGAAACTGGACACTTCCCGTACTGAAGCCATGTTGGTTGATCAAAGAGAGCCTAACAGGTTTCCCAAGTTAGAACAGCTTCTATTTCTGCCTGTGAAGTGAACATAGTATAATAGGGTTGGAAGGGACCTTTGAGGTGTTCTAGTCCAACCCCCTGCCCAAACAGAAGACCCTATACCAGTGATGGCGAACCTTTTTGTTGTTGCGTGCCAAAAGCGCAGGGGAGGAGTGTGGGGTGTGTGTGTCACGTGCGCTTCTGCTCACATCCATAATTTAATGCCCCCATGCCCTGCCCCCCATGCATGCACACGTGAGCCCCCCCAGAGACTCCCCCCAGTGCTCCCCCCCTTTTAGCAAATGATGGCAAAAAGGTTACCGGTGGGCCCGGAACAGAGGTAAAATGCTAGCAGTTCGTCCTGGTTCAGGCAAGTGATTAAAACTACCAGTTCAGGGGAACCAGTAGTTAAAATAAGCTATGGGTTCAGCCAAACCGGTATTTCCAATGATCAGCTGTGCCGTGCAGCTTATATTTGCTAGAAAGCAGGAAAGAGCCTGTAGTACAGTGGACGAAGCACTGTTATTAACAACTGCTGCTTGCAATTACTGCAAGTTCGAATCTCACCATGTATTGTGTATGTGAATGTGCAGCGCGTGTTTGGCATGCAGCCACATGCGCTGGCAACGAACCGGTGGTGATCTGCGGAGGATTTCACTATTGGCCCGGAAGGCCCATTTTTCATCCTCCCCAGGCTCCAGAGGGTTTCTTGGAGCCTGGGGAGGGTGAAAACGGCCTCTCCCACCCCCAGGATCTCCTACGGAGGCCGGAAACAGCCCATTTCCCGATTTTCGGTGGGCCCAGAGGCCCTGAAAATTTGCTGACCAGCACACACATGCATGCTGGAGCTGAGCTAAGGCAACGCTTGCGCGCCCACAGATATGGCTCTGCATTCCACAGGTTCGCCATCATGGCCCTATACCATTCCAGACAAATGGCTGCCCTATTTCTTCTTTAAAACCTCTAACGATGGAGCGCCCACAACTTTTGAAAAGGCAAGCATTACACTGGTTAGTTGTTCTCACTGTCGGGAATTTTCTCCTTAATTCTAGGTTGGATCTCTCCTTTGACAAGTTTCTTTTTGTCCTGCTCTGGAGAATAAGTCAACCCTCTTTTGTACAGCCCCTCAAGCAGTGGTGGGATTCAGCCAGTTCGCACCACTTCGGGAGAGCCGGTTGTTAACTTTCTGAGCAGTTTGGCAAACTGGTTGTTGGAAGAAATCATTAGTGCAGAGAATCGATTGTTCAATCACTTGAATCCCACCACTGCCTTCAAGTACTGGAAGTCTGAGGCGAAGGGGTGTCTGCCATCCCGGACAGATCCGCCTTGAACACCAAAGTCACAAAAACACTAAAACTACTTTTCTTACAGGGTTACAGAAACAGAGTCTGAAGGCGCTTCCTGCCTTCATTCTAAACTAAACCAGGAAGGAGAAACCCTGAGACATTTTCTCCAATTGCCTTCCTATTTTGCACACAGGAATTTCTTATCTCACCGTTGTCTGGGCTGCGTCTCTTCCTCCTCTTCCTCCAGGTGATTCTCACAGGCCGCTGCAGGGCAGGGGAATTCTTCAATGTGTCAGACCTGCCGCCACTTAAACCTCTAAATAAAAAACATCCTCGGCTCCATCTGTTGAGAAAGGCAGGGCTTTGAGAAGGGCGTTGCAGTGAAGGCATAGCCAGAACGGAGCATCTTATGCCAAAAGCCCTAAATTTAATCTTCCCCTCCCATCACCCACCCCGTGCAACCAATCAACTTCAGGCAGGATGTTTTGTAATGGCCAGTTGTGTACAGGAAGATATGCAGGCAGGAGATGCAGAACTTAACTTTCGTTTTCCCCCTTGCCTTCCTCCCTCCTCCCTCCCCACAATTCATGACAGTCTGTCCCCGAAGTACAAGCAAGCGGAAGGTGGCAGCTGACACGATCTTCAGGAAAGCTCTTTTTTAAAAAATGATTTCAGCCTTCTTCATTTGAAGAATATTTCAGTGGCCATGAAGCCCCACCCCCCCTTTTTTTAAAGAAACATTTTTTTACTTTGAAATAAGAAAGGAATCATTCTGAATTAAATCGTTCGAATTATTGTGCATCCCCAGTTCTTTCCCCACAGAACTCAGGTTTTTGGTCTGGTGTGGATCTCTTGCAAGAATGGACAGATGAATGAAAAGATAACCGGAAGAATAATTCCACAGTCCTAAGGGTTGTGAGGAAAACTAATTCTTGGGACATCTTAGCAACATAGAAGCATAGGAGGAAAGTGTGTTAATTGAGGCCTTGCTTTTCGATATCCTTATCAAAACTTCTATGACAACTGATACATTTCTTTTTATTATTAAGACAATAACTCTTTCCTGAGAACAGTAAAAGTGGGTGGATGGGAAAGTAATTTGAGGTTTGCTAATTGTGAATATTCATGTGTACATTTTCTATTACCCATGTATATATATAGTTATCATTTTCTCCTCCTTTCCTGAAATGGATACAGGTGGTCCTCAACTTATGACCACAACTGAGACCAAGTTTTCTGTTGCCAAGCGAGACATTTTTTAAGTGAGTTTTGCTCCATTTTACCATTTTTCTTGCCACAATAATTAAATGAATCACTGCAGGTGATAAGTTAGTACCGTTTCCCCAAAAATAAGGCATCCCGATAATAAGCCTAGATGGGCTTTTGAGCGCATGCACTAAAATAAGCCTCCCCCCAAAAATAAGCCCTCCCCGAAAATATTTAAACGCAGAGCTGGAAATCAGGTAAGACAGTAAGAGGAGCCCCATCTTGCTCCATGCGCCCCAAAATAATAAGACCTCCCCGAAAATAAGGCCAAGTGCTTATTTCGGAGTTCACAAAAATATAAGACAGGGTCAAAAATATTTTTTCAGGGAAACACGGTAACAAGGAGCCTGAGTGGCGTAGGAGGCTAATGCCTCCTACTAAGGCAGCATTTAACATCCAGCTGCCTGCAATTACTGCGAGTTCAATTCTCACCAGGCTCAAAGTCGACTCAGCCTTCCATCCTTTCTAAGGTGGGTAAAATGAGGACCCGGTTGTGGGGGCAATAAGCTGACTTTATATAAAATATGCAAAAGTATGAAGGCTATTGCTTAACGCATTGTAAGCCGCCCTGAGTCTCCGGAGAAGGGCGGCATATAAATAAAATTAAAAATTTAAATTAAAAAAAAAAAAACAAGTGTAGGAAGAAAAATCTGGTCTGGTTCCAATCCAGGAGAGAGGTGCTAGAAATAAAATGGAGGCTGATTGGAAAGAAGGACACTGTTTATTGATGAGCAGAACCAACAACAACAAGTAGTTCTGGGACAGCTGACAAATTGGCTGAAGGAGTGGATGGATCTTTATAGGTTTCTGTGACTTTAAAATTTTGATTGTTTTTGGGATTGTGCAATGAAGAGGCTTTTGTATCTTTTGCTATTTCAATGGTGGTGGGTTAATCCTATTATTAGGTCCTGTCCTTAGAGTTTGGGTGGCGGAATGCAAATTCTTAATCTTATCAACTGGAGCTGAAGGTGTTTTGTTTGTGAATAGATTGGCCCAGTCTTCCTGAATGGGCAAAAAATAATCATCTCTAAAGAATTCAGGCATCTGCTAGGGGCTGTCTTACTATGCAGAAAACTGGGGCTACTTTCTGCCTTTAAGAGCATGTTTCCCCATTTCTACTTTGGGGAAATATAATATTCTGCCTCTTTTGATATTCCCCAAAATATTTCATTCTTGGGGGGGGGAGGTGCGTATTTACTTCTTACATAAGGTAGGGGATCTTTGAGCAGTTGGCAGCATCCCAAGCCGTAACCCTATCTCCCACTCAGCTGAGCCTTCTGAAATAGCAATAGCACTAGACTTATATACCGCTTCACAGTGCTTTACAGCCCTCTCTAAGCAGTTTACAGAGCCAGCATATTGCCCCCAACAATCTGGGTCCTCATTTTACCCACCTTGGAAGGATCGAAGGCTGAGTCAACCTTGAGTCTGGCGAGATTTGATCCGCCAAATTGCAGTCAGTCAGTCAGTCAGCAGAATTAGCCTGCAGTACTGGATTCCAATCACTGTGCCACTGTGGCTCACTCCAATGCTCCAGAACCTGCCCTTTTTCAAATTCCATCTTTATTTTTTCTGGTTTCACTCTCCCTTTTATTTTGATTTTCAGAGCATTAAGAGCAGTGGTGGCGCAGTGGTTAGAATGCAGTATTGCAGGCTAATTCAGCTCACTACCAGTAGTTTGACCCTGATTGGCTCAAGGTTGATTCAGCCTTCCATCCTTCCGAGGTCAGTAAAATGAGGACCCAAATTGTTAGGGGCAACACGCTGACTCGATAAACTGCTTAGAAAGGGCTGTAAGGCACTATGAAGCGATATATAAGTGCTATTGTATTAGCCTGAAAGATAGATCAACAGATGAAGTCTGGGTCATTTATGCATAATTGCTTTCCAAAATTCTGTGGGGCCAGGAAGCATAATTTAAAAATAAATAAATAAATAAATAATAAAAGAGAAGTCAAGATAGCAAATCGGGCACAAAAGTAAAGAAATTCATTTATTATTAAAGTTCTTGCTGGAAATAAGGACAAATCTTTAAAAAGGCATCTTTAGGGAAGGCAAAAATGTAGGGCTTTGCTGCTATTTCGTATATTATCTGGATTTTTGTGGCCCAGATCTTATAGGTCTACATAGGGACATGAGGATAGCTAACTTACGACAGTTGCAATAATCATGGTGGTGATGGTCCCTTAGGGCTTAGGCCACGGAGGCCTGCAAGGGAACAACCAGCACCTTGAATTGGACCGGAAGCAAATCGACAACCAATGCAGCTTGCGAAATACACTGAAATATGTCCATTACTGCTCAAGCCACTGCATTCCCTATCAGTGGAAGCTTCTGGCTGGTCTCCAAGGGCAGCCCCAGGGAGAATGTGCTGCAGTAGTCAAAAGTTTCCTCACATGTTCTATTGGGCCTGTTGTTGTTTGACCATGAACTAACTAACAATGGCTTATTAAGTCTTTGCCTTCTCTTAGTTTGGCCTGATTAAAGGAGGTGGCAACTGAGTCACCCTAGAGACTAGGGTGGTCACAGCTGGCTGAGACTGCTGAAGGCCTTAGGCCTCTACTTCAAATCCAGTGTGGCGCTGCTGCCGTCACGTCCTGCCCTGCAGGGATGAGCTGGGATGGCTGTGGCTTTGCACCACACTACAATACCCCACCGGCCACACATGGCCTGTGTCAGGCCTCCCACAGCCTCTCCCCTGCACTCTGCTTCATGACCCCCACAATCACATGACTGCAACTGGGAGTGCCAGAATTGAGATCACTGAGCAAAGTAGTCCCATAGGCATCTTGCTTAATTACCATTTTGCCCAGTGACCGAGATTCCTGTCCCAGTTGTGGTTATAAGTCAAGACTCGCTGTAAAGTACTATAGGAGATTGTGCCTCAATGCAGAGAACTCTGATTCAGGTAAAAATTCAGTTCAGCTGTAAACTCAATGATTGGATTTGCACAATTCATTTGATCTTAAGCCTATGTGGACCAAATGCAGATAAACAAACTGCATTGTAGCTTAGTGTGCTGGCAGAGTTCATATAATGGGCAAGGAAGCTGAACACAAAGAATCACAATCTAATTATTTGTTCTTTTAACATATTTTCTTTTAACAAGAAAGATAAAATACAAAACAGAAAAAAAGAAGAAAACAATAATGACGATTTTGTATATTAAATACAAAATCGTATATATTGTTTGATCTGTGGTGCTATATATAACAGAATTTCTAACAAAATCTATATGATAACCTAGTTATTTGTCATTCAGTCCCTTCTGACTTTTTGTAAATTGAAGATACATCAACTCAATTCAATTTGCGTTGCCATATTTTCTAATACCACAAATGATTCCAGTTTTCACCACATCCATAAAGCAGCCCAATTACCTTCTGACTTCTACATTTCTTTAAAAGAAACATTTTATTGAAATTGTTTTAGAGAAAACGTATAAACAATCATAAACAGAAAACATGGAAGAATAAAAGGCATGTTTGCAATCATAATAGGGTTAGAGTTGTTTTGCTGTGCACCTATAGCATTATACAGTGATGAGAGAAAACCATCCCTTGTTACAGATACAAACACAACCAAGTATTGGAATATTGGAACATTTCTACTAAGGCCTTCCCAACTAAGGGCAGGAAGTATGGCTTGCTGTCACTGTTTTTGCCTGCAGTGGAATGCATTGAAAGCAGGTAAAAAATCTTGCACCACAGGTGGACAGAGGCAACCTCTATCCTCACTACGGTCAACGGGTCAAGGTAATTAAGCATGTGGGAAATAGAAGGTCAACTTGAAAGCTACACTTATAGCAGTCCCTGCACCTAGAACAACCATCATGGACCACAATAGTCAGGTCAGACCAGTTTCGAACCTTTGAGCGATTGCTTGCAAAGAGGGAATAGCATGAACTTTCTCTTAAAACAGCCATCCTAACGCACCTCTATGTTTTCAACTTTCACTAGGCTGTTCTTTGCAATGCCACACCCTGAGCTAAGATCTCAAAGCTCCAGACCCCACACCCAGAGGGTGCAGTTGCTTCGAGTGCTGAGAAAGGGCAGCATGGAAGCACGCTTGGAAAAGGCAGCTTGGAAGGTGTAGATGTGGGCCATGCTGCTGCTGTTGTAAAAAGAGAGCTGCCCCCCTTCAAAGTCCAGGTAAACCCCAACTTTCCCCATCTTCCCACAGACCGAGAGGGGCGTACGGGGCTCACTCAGAGCTTGGAATTCTCCCGCCTTCAGCTCAATAGCCCACACCCCTTCCTGGGGCAGAAAGTTCAGCTTCTCCTTGCGCTTCACAGTCTTTTTGGCCATCCCCACTATCCAATCGGTGCTGTCCTCGACATCGATCTCCCAGTAGAAGCGGCCAGTGGTAATGCCCTTCCGTCCCACCACACACGGTGTGGCGGTGAAGGTCTCCGGCGTTTCTTGCCACAACCGTCGGCCAGGACTGAACTTGACCCCGGTGGCTTTTTGCACAAGTTCCAAGCTGGGATGAGCTGAGTTGCAGTCCAATGTGATTCTTGGAGGGACTGGAGAGGAAAGATGGAAAGAATTCAGAATGAACAAGAACGGACTTGTGCAACAGGTTATTGCAGGAGTATAAAGTGGCCCAGGAAAAAAATTAGACACAAATGAATTTGATAATAGCCAGCTGTTAATAAAGCTACTGCCATCCTCAACATGTCTGAAGCTTCCTTTCTCTCTTTTAGCCCAAACTACATTATGGTGTAATAATATATAATGGGGTAATTAGAGCGGTTAAGCAATTATATTTGGAAGAGTTAGTGTTAAATGGAAACCAGGCCACCAAAGAACATGGTGGCTCGACACCATCAAAGCTGGACAACAGCCAGAGCATAGAAGAACTCAGAGAAGCAGTGCAAGATTGGAAGGTGTGGAGAGAACTGGCCCATAGAATCACCAAGAGTTGGACATGACTGAATGGATAACGTCATCATCATCTTCATCATCACATTACAGGGTTATTGCTGTGGAGTACATAGCCTTATATTTCCACAAAAAAAAATAGGGTATAAAAGTAATAAACCAATAACCTGTACATTTGATCTAAAACCTCAACTCACCTGGATGTAGCTCACCCAGGAGCTCCTTCCAGGCATAGAATTGCAGAGGTCCTTTAAACTCGCCCAGGTTCAAGTCTACAGCCACCACTCCATCTTCTTCCTCCTCTTCTTTCTCCTCTTCTTCTTCCTCTGCTGTCTCTTCTTCTTCATCTTCTTCTTCTTCTTCCTCCTCCTCCTCCTCCTCTTCTTTTTCCTCCTCTTCCTCCTCTTCTTTTTCCTCCTCTTCCTCCTCATCAATGTCTTCATCAATCTCATTCTCACACTCATCTGTGTCTTTCCTGCTGGCCCCCAGCCCATCTTCTCCTACCAGTTCAGCATCTAAGTCGGGTTCCTCCGGAGCTCCTTGTTCCTTACGGACCCTGTAGGAGAAGAGCATCCCAAGGATCAGCCATTTAAGAATAACCTGCCCCAGTAGCAATAACACTGAAGACTTATATACCGCTTCACAGTGCTTTACAGCCCTCTCTAAGCAGTTTTACAGAGTCAGCATTATGGCCCCTAAACAATCTGGGTCCTCCTTTTGCCAACCTCGGAAGGATGGAAGGCTGAGTCAACCTTGAGCCTGGTGAGATTCAAACTGCCAAATTGCAGGCAGCCGGCAGTCAGCAGACTCACCCAAGAAAATCTCCACTTTTTCTTTTTGTAGTTTTACAGAGATTTTGGAAGTGGTTTGGGTAGGAGCCAAAGGGCCAGAAGAACATTTTCCATCCCAATTAAACTTTTTGTGGCCAAATCAACCTTCCTTTGCCTCTACTCCCAAGAAGGAAGAGGAGCCAACTTTATAATTGTAGCAGAGGTTTATTTTAATGGAAGTAAACAAGGAGCCATCTTCCCTTCCGTATACTGCATGGAGGAGCTTCACCTACTCATTTTGGCAAATCAAGCAGCTTCTGAAAGGTGGAAGTCATGCCTACAGTGAGGAGGCAAAGTAATGTACCCTGTATCAGGGGTGTCAAACTCAAGGCCTGCAGGACGGATCCAGCCCGCAAGGTGTTTAGATCCGGCCCATGGGGCTGCCGTAGAAACAGTGAAGGACTGGCTGAAGTGCTTCTGCCAGTGAAAACGGAGCTTGGGAGGGCCACGGTAGAGCTCAGGAGCCCGTTTTCACTGATAGACCACTCAGGCCACCACAGGTGTCCCCGACACGAGTGACATCAAGCTGGCCACGCACCCCCACCCCCCACGGTCAAACACAACCCTGCTGTGGCCATCAATGAATTTGAGTTTGACACACTTGCCCTGTAGGGTCAGCCCTCCCTGTTGGTTCATGCTTTTCTTCCTTTCATATATTTATTATATAGGTAGTCTGGGACTTAACAACCATTCATTGAGAGATCGAAGTTACAATGCTAAAAAGAGGGATTTACAACCGATCCTCACATTTACAGCTGTTGGTCGTGATCAGGAGACAGGTGCTTGACAAGCCGCCTGCATTTACGATAGTTGCCACATTTTGGGGGGGGGGGTGTCACGTGACGGCTATTTGCGATTTTCCAAGCTGGCTTGGAGCAAGCAAAGTCAATAGGGGGAAGCTGGATTGGCTTAATGACTGCACTGATTCACTTAACAACAGTGGCAAAAAAAAGGTTGGGGGCGACATTTAACAACCACCTTGCTTATCAAAGGAAATGTTGGTCCTAACTTTGGCTGTAATGTGAGGTATAAGAAAAGAGAAACACTACTTACCTTTCTAGCAACTCTTTTACCTCCTGTGGGAGGGAAGGGGAGAGAGAGAGAGAGAGAGAGGGAGAGGGAGAGAGAGAGAGAGAGAGAGAAAGAGAGAGAGAGAGAGAGAGAGAGAGAGAGAGGAAGAGGGAGAGAGAGAACAGTCAAAATAATTCTTTCTGTAGGTTATCACCCACTTTCCTGTCAAAGAGTTCTGCATTTTAATGGTGCACAACAGATTTTTGCTCTCAGTAGATCAGGGGCGTCAAACTCAAGGTCTGCAGGGCAGATCTGGGCCACTGAGTGCTTCCAGCACCCTGGAACCAGTAAAGGACCAGCCTGCAGTGCCCCCCTCATTCATGATTTAGTTCAGGAGGGTGGGGTGGAACTGGCTGGGATCACGGAGACCTGGTTGGGCCACGAGGGGAGAGGTCCCCCTTGTGGAGATGTGCCCACCAGGCTTCCTCGCATTTCATCAGCCGAGGGCCCAGGGGAGGGGCGGTGGGGTAGCGGTGATTATTAAAGAAAGTCTTAGTCCGAGGGAGGCCACTGTTCATCAGATAGCTGGCTGTGAGTCCCTCTTTGTGAAGTGGGGTCATAAGGTGCAGATGGGTTTGCTGACTATGTACCTGGCTCCCTGCCACGTGGCAGCTGCCCTGCCTGAGCTGCTCGACGTAATAGCCGGGGTAGCGGTGGATACCCCCAGGCTTATGGTCATGGGGGATTTCAACCTGCCATCCGTCGGTGAAACGTCGGAAGCGGCTCTGGAGTTCATGGCCTCCATGACGGCCATGGACCTGATCCAGTTAGTTCATGACCCCACCCACACTGGAGGACACACGCTGGACTTGATTTTTCTCTCTGATCAGTGGTTGAATGATCTCACAATGGGGGACCTAGTCATTAAGCCCTTGTCATGGACAGATCATTCGCTCCTTCAGTTGGACTTTTGGACCGCTTCCCCTCGCTGCAGGGAGACGGAACCGACCAGGTGGTTCTGTCCCATGCGCCTGATGGATCCCGAGAGGTTCCTGATGGAGCTTGGGCCATTCCCTGAGGCTCTGACTCACGGCTCGGCTGAGGAACTGGCGGCCGCCTGGGACAGGGCGGCCGCCGGAGCCTTGGACCGCGTCGCACCTTTGCAGCCTCTGACCCGGTGCCGTTCTCAATTGGCTCCTTGGTTCTCCAAGGAGCTGAGAGAGATGAAGCGCCGGAAAAGATGCCTAGAGAGTGATTGAAGGTCCAGCCGCACCGAATCTGACCGGACACTGGTGAGGTCTTATATCAAGACCTACCTAGTGGCAATAAGAGTGGCGAAATCTAACTATTTTTCCACTTATTGCGTCTGCAGAGAACTGCCCAGCCGCCCTGTTCAGGGTGACCCGCTCTCTTCTTCGGGTGGGAATGAGGGAGGACCCCTTGCAGGGTAGAGCTGAGGATTTTGGACAGTTCCTGCATGATAAAATCGCTCAGATTCGGGCCGGCCTGGACTCTGATTGGATAGCCTCGGACGGGATGACGGAGGTGAGTCTTGAGAATGTTACCTGGGAAGAGTATGACCATGTGACTCCTGAGGACATGGACAGGATTTTGGGGAGGCTTAACGCTACCACGTTTACTGGACCCGTGTCCCTCCTGGTTGGTGCTGGCCTCCCGGGAGGTTACACGAGGCTGGTTTCAGGAGATTACCAATGCTTCATTGAGTAAGGGTGTCTTCCCATCCACCCTGAAAGAGGCGGTGGTGAGGCCCCTCCTCAAGAAGCCTTCCCTGGACCCGGGAGTCACTCACAGTCACTCACGCCCTCGTCACTTCCCGGCTGGACTATTGTAATGCTCTCTACATGGGACTCCCCTTGAGGAGCACCGGGAGGCTCCAGCTGGTCCAGAATGCAGCCGTGCGAGTAATAATGGGGGCGACTCGTCACTCCCATGTAACACCCTTCTTGCGCGAGCTGCACTGGCTCCCTGTGGTCTTCCGGGTGCATTTCAAGGTGTTGGTAACCACCTTTAAAGCGCTCCATGGCTTAGGACCTGGTTATCTACAGGACCGCATTCTGCCACCGATTGCCTCTCACTGACCAATACGCTCCCACAGAGAGGGCCTCGTCAGGGTGCCGTCAGCCAAACAATGTAGGCTGGCGACCCCCAGAGGGAGAGCCTTCTTTGGAATGAATTGCCCCCTGGATATACGAAGGATCCCTGACCTCCGCGCCTTCCGTCGTGCTCTGAAAACCCTATTATTCCAGCAAGCTGGTCTTACTGGATAAAAGGTTTTAAATTGGGTTTTGATAGGGTTTTAAAATTATTTTAACTGGATGTTTTAAATTTGGCCTATGATTGAATTATTTTAATAAGTTTTTAATTTTTGTTGTACATTGTTTTTACCATGGCTATTCACCGCCCTGAGTCCCTCGGGAGAAGGGCGGTATATAAATATAATAAACTAAACTAAACTAAACTAAACCCTGCCAACGAAAACGGAGCTGGTGAAATGCTATCATAACAAATATAGAAGAAACAAAAATTGAGGACTGTAGAGTCACAGTGCTTGATATGGCACTGAAAACCCAAGGTGATATAAAGCGCATGTACTGATCGATCTCTCTTTTATAGGAACAAACATTGTGGAATCTAGCAATTGTTACAGGAAATCAACTCTTACTTATTTTATTTAAGAAAATGGATTTGGCCACCCAACTGACTCTCAGTGATTCTGGGTGGCTTACAAAGATTAAAAAAAATAATACAGAGATCTTGTCAGTCGTGACAAACTCTAATTGAACAAATCATGGTGTGAGAAGTTTTATATCCAAATATATTTTATTCTTTATACCGTTTCCATCTTTCATTAAAAACATTAACAGAATCTACAACAGTCTGAGAATCAGTGTCTCCAGGTTAATTAAATTAGCAAACTGCTTCAACCCCCTAAAATAAGTCCCCAAGCCTAATCCACATATCAAAGGATAAGGTCTGCAAACACAATAGAGATAACTAAATTAAGTTTCCCAGCAAAACTGTATGTTCACACACACACACACACACACACACATATATATACACCTCAGCACGTAAACACTTCCACATCCCAGATAAATTCCCCCTATAAAAGTTTGCCACTGTACCCCGTTTCTCTGCAGCCTGCCCTTAAAATCAAATTGTTTTGCTTTTAGGAATAAATATTTCTTCTTCCCTCACAACTGTCTGAATCTCATTTTTATTTATTCTTGTGCCATCCCGACTCAAGTTGGAACTCCAAATTATTCTTCTAGCAATGTTTTCTTGCAATCTATGCACCCAGCAATTTTCTCCTTCCCAAGAAAACCCCACAGCCCCCGGTCCTCCTTACCTTAAGGAAACTTATGTGGTCTTTGCATTCAAGGCCGGCCTGTACACGGCACAGAGTTTCTGAACGAGAAGCCATCTTGCAGTCCAGTTCCTTTAACTTGGTTTCCATCTGAGCCAAGTTCTTTTCTCGCTGGTTTTCTAAGGCCTGTTTCATAGCCATCTCTCTGTCGTTCAGCAGCTGGTGCATCTTCACAAACTCTCCAGAGACATGATCAGACAAGGATTCGGAGCAGGTCTGGAAAAACAGAGATGGAACACAGCAAAAGGTTGTGGTTTTGTCAAACAGAAATGATCACCTGTCCACAATGGTGTTGGTTTGGAGTAGACTCCTAAGAATACCTTGCATAGCCGTGAAAAAATAAATAAATGGACCATCAAACAAATCAACTCATTTGAGTTCTTATTTGAAGCACTAATGATTCAAAACATCCTACGTTGGGCATGTGATGCAAAGACCTAACTTTCTGAAGGAGACTCTTAATGCTAGGAAAGATGGAAAGAAAGAGAAGTTGAGGAAGAACAAAAGCAAAGATGGTGGACATAGTGGCAATTGGGGCACCATTAGAAGATCTGAAAAACCAAGTTATGGATAAATCGCCATGGAGAAACTCCGTTTTGCTCGGAGTTGAAAACTACTTGATAGCATATAATTTATTTTATGTATTTATTAAACTTATATGTCACCCATTTCACTGTCAGGTAACTCATAATCAATCAATCAATCAATGTTTATGTTTATGTTTATTGGACTTTTATACCGCCCTTCTCCCGAAGGACTCAGGGCGGTGTACAGCCATATTAAGACACATATAAATTTACAAAATTTAAAACAAATTAAAATCGAATATATAAAAATTTGGCCCATAGATTAAAAACAAACATACACCCATTATAAAATTCGTATTAGGCCAGCCCGGCTTGTTGGAACAAAAGGGTCTTCAGGGCGCGGCGAAAGGTACGCAGGTCGGGGATGAGACGAACCTCCAGGGGCAGCTCATTCCAGAGGGCTGGTGCCCGCACAGAGAAGGCTCTCCCCCTAGGTGTCGCCAGTCGGCATTGTTTGGCTGACGGCACCCTGAGGAGCCCCTCTCTGTGGGAGCGTATTGGCCGGTGGGAGGCTGTTGGTGGCAGAAGGCGGTCTCGTATATACCCCAGTCCTAAGCCATGGAGCGCTTTAAAGGTGGTGACCATCAATGCCACTATAATGATTACCTAAGCAACACCAGCAATTTAAATCTTTTGCCTTTTTTATAATGTAGTTGTCAGCGTTCCAGAAAACCCCCCAACTCTAAGTAAAGACTCTGAAGCAAGCATTTTTCAAAGTTCTATTTACTAGACTAGGTAAACTGGCACATCTGGGAAAACCCGAATCTGAGTGGTCCAGGTTTTCCCTCAGTAAATCAAAACCCCCAAACCATCTCCTCCTCAGTCGATCACATGCTCCAATCAATGTCCATCCCACCTCGAGACATCACTCCGACCACTCCTTCTCCAGATGCAGGATTGCCCTGACCTTGAACAATAGGAAGAATGCTATTATGTCTACTAAATCCCCCCTCCTACTTTCCCACACATGAGAAGGTGGCAGCTTGGAAGCTTCCGGCCTAATATGGCTTCCAAAGCTGACAGTAGTGACAACACACATGTACATATAAACACACAAAGTTCAATTGATTTACATAAATACACATACAAAGTTCTGTGGGGTCCCTGCTGCTCTCTGAGCTTCTTTTTCTTGTAGACGTTTTATTACCGAACTAGGTAATATCAGTGCTCCAACAAAAGTGCAAACCCTACTCCCTTCCAGTACTAATGATGTTACCTGGTTGAGTAGTGAAACATCTGCAAGAAAACAACCAAGCTCAGAAAGCACCAAGGACCCCACCATTCATCCCTGAGCTACAAATATTCCCTTCTAAATTCTAATTGTAAGTGTGTCTTTTGTGGTATCTTAGAGCACCACAGTGCTTCTAAATGTTTAAAACTAAATTGAGAATCCCAAGGGAAAAGGGAATATCCTGAAAAATGCATGGTTGACAACTTTGGTGACTTGAATGCCACACTACAGCATATATATTTTTCATTCATTCATTCATTCATTCATTTGATCTGTATGCGAATCAAATAAGCAGGTAGCTTTTCTTTTCCTTAGACTGAATTTCAGGAGTCTGGATTAAATGCTGACTATGAAACACCTGATATTAAATTAATGAGCCACAAATAGTAGCATCGAAAGCAATAGTTGCAGGGAAAAAGAGAGAGAAAATACACTTAGTTTAGCATTAAACAGTCCCAACCCTCACCACTTCCCATCTGCACCTTTAATTCGATAATGTTCTCCTGCTGGTGGCACTGGCTCCTTTTCAACCGCCTGAGATCTTCCTCAAGAGGCTCCAGAGATGCCTTCAGCTGCTCCTGAAAGGAAGAGAAAGTTCAGATCTCACATAAAATGAACACCAGCATTTGACTGATCCCACAACAATTTTATACCTCCCTGCTTCTTGCAGATGCTAATCCTGGTATGACATTTGTGTTGGCAGGTTCTGCTCAGCAGCGTTTAAAATCCGTCAGACCTCTGTCCCCAAACCAGCCTTAGTGTTTATTATGATAGTTAAGAGTGTTTTGTACTGTGATACATTTAGTTAGCAATATATTAATTTTTATGTTCCCCTGCATTTATTTAATGTTTTTCCTTATGGAATTTTTGTAGTTTCAGTTTCTCTTTCTCTCCCTCCCTCCCTCTCTCTCTCCAGGTAGTCCTCAATTTATGACCACGACTGAACCCAACATTTCTATTGCTAAGTGAGAAGTTTGTTACATAAATTTTGTCCCATTTTATGATTGAGAAAGCGAAAATATTTTACCAACAATTCTGTGGACCAATGGATGGAGATTTGGGAGCAGTAGATGCTGCAAAAGAAAAAGATGAAGATAAGGACAAAGAAGAAAAAGCCAAAGAGGAAAGGGCCCTCAGAGAAGGGGCGAGAGCTAAAGATCCACCGGAACAAAGAGAGACTAGGGCGATGAAATTAAAAACTAGCAACAAGTAAATATGGAAAAAGAAGTAAAAGCAGTATCTTTAAATGTAAATGGATTGAAAGCAGCGATAAAAAGAAATAGAATATTGACTAAATTAAACAGTTTGAAGATGGATATTATGTTTACAGGAAGTGCATATTAGAAAACAATATTCAAAATTATTACAATACCCCAAACTAGGAGTACTATTTACATCATTGATACAACAAAGTAAAAGAGGAGTGGTACTATATATTAAAGAAAAACTAGAACCCAAACAAAGGCAGGTTCTTGATGGTTGAAATAAAAATGAACTTTAAACAAATACTTTTGATAGCATTATATGCACCAAATGAAAAACAGGAAGAATTTTATCGGAGACTACACAGGAAAATTGTAGAATTGGACTATGAAAATGTATGTATTATGGGTGACTTCAATGCTGTAACAGATACAGATTTAGACTACAAAACTGTAAAAACAAATAAAAAACCAAGAAAAACTCTGCCAAAGGCCTTCTTTACAATGACAGAAGAATTGAGTATACAAGATATTTGGAGACAGAAACACTTGAAAGAGAGCCAGTACACCTTTTACTCAAATAGACACTTATCGTGGTCAAGGATAGATATGATATGGATGTCAATTGGACTTACAGAAACAGTGCAGGAAGTAAATATTGGCTCAAACTTATGGGCAGACCACAGACCAATAACAATAACATGGAAAGGGCGAAAGAAAAAGATAAGATGGACTCTGAATGCAACAATATTAAATGAAAAAGAATTTCAGAAATTTGTGGAAAAGGAATTGGAAATTTTCTTTAAAATAAACAAAAAGGAGGATACATCACTCCAGAATGTTTGGGATACACTGAGCTGCACTGGTTGCCGGTGGTCCTTCGGATCTGCTTCAAGGTGCTGGTTCTCACCTATAAGGCCCTTCATGGCATGGGCCCGGGGTTGCAGGATCACCTCCTACCGGCCTCCCACCACCCAGTGTGCTCACATAGGGCTGCTCTTCTCCGGGTGCCGTCGGCCAGACAATGTCGGTTGATGGCGCCCAGGATGAGGACGTTCTCTGTGGCTGCACTGACCTTCTGGAACGAGTTACCCACCGGACTCCGGACGGCCCGATCTCCATTCCTTCCGCAAAGACCTGAAAACATGGCTTTTTAAGCAAATTGTCTGATTCTGTTTTGGGAGTTTTAATTAATTGTGGGATTTTAATTGAACCTTTTCATCTTATTTATTATTGCTATTTTATTGTGATTTTATTGTTGTGAGCCGCCCCGAGTCCTTCGGAAGAAGGGCGGCATATAAATTTTAATAAAATAAAATAAATAAATAAAATACAATGAAAGCATATATTAGAGGCCTGGCAATAACATATTTGGGAAAAAAGAATAAAAAGAAACGCCAGAAACAAGCAAGATTGGAAAAGGAGTATAAAAGTCTGGAAAAAGAGTTCCAGAAAAATGGTCAAGACAATAAAAAAATCAAGAAATTGATGGAATTGAAGGAACATGAAATAATTTTAAATGAACAAGAATCATTAGCAAATCAATTGAGAACATCGAGACAGAATTTTTTTGAAAATGCAAATAAACCAGGAAGATGGTTAGCATATAAACTAATAAAAGAAAAGGAGAAGAAAATTATAAAATATCTTCAAGATGGAGAAGGGAAATTACAATATAGAACTAAGGAAAAAAAGAAAGTAATCCAAGAATACTATCAAAAACTCTATTCCCAAGAGAAGATCTCAGAGAAGGTACAATGCTACTAAGAGAAATCTGACTTAATTAAAATATCAGAACAATATAAAGAAATGCTAGATGAAAAAATAACAATGATGGAACTAACAGAAGCCATAAAAAGACAAAAAAGTGGAAAAGCACCAGGACCAGATGGTCTACCAGCTGAATTATATAAAACACTACAAGAAGGGATCAGTAATGTAATGCTGGACTTATTTAATGACCTATTATTGAAGGCCAAGATGCCAGACTCATGGAAAGAGGCATATGTGACACTTATACCTAAAGAAGATACAGATTTACAATTGATTAAAAACTATAGACCGATTTTGTTATTAAATGCAGATTATAAGATTTTTGCCTCGATAATGGCAAATAGGTTGAAAAAACCGCTAAATGAATATATCCATACCAATCAAAATGGCTTCTTACCAAAAAGACAAATTAGAGATAATATGAGGATGATTTTGAATACTTTGGAATATTATGAGACTCATCCAGAAAAACAAATGGTGTTGATGTTCTTAGATGCACAGAAAGCTTTTGATAATGTGAATTGGCAGTTTATGATAAAACAATTACAGAAAATGGACTTTGGGGAGAGATTTATAAATACCATAAAAACAATTTACGATAGACAATTTGCTAAGATAATGATGAATGGAGAAATGATGGAAAAAATTAATATAATGAAAGGGACTAGACAAGGCTGTCCTTTATCACCACTATTGTTTATTCTGACTCTAGAAGTCCTAAATAGAAATATTAGACAGAATGATGAGATAAAAGGGATGAAAATTAAAAAAGAGGAGTATAAATTACAAGTGTTTGCAGATGATTTGGTATTCATTATAGAGGAACCACAAATAACAGGCCCTAAATTATTAGAACAGATAGAAAGATATGGAAAAGTCTCCGGTTTGAAAATAAACAAAGACAAAACAAAAATCCTGGTGAAAAATACAACAGAAAAACAAAACAGAGAGATAAAAGAAAAGTTAGATATACAAGTTGTGAAGAAAGTTAAATGTTTGGGAGTATATTTAACTTCAAGAATGGATTGAACTAAGAAATATAAGGTTGTTAACATTGGAAGGGCATGATTTGCAACTGGGTTGGCATGCTTTTTTGTGGTATGGTAGACATAAGATACATAATACTTTCATAGACATTATATGAGCCTTGGTGGCGCAGCAGACTAAAGTGCTGTTAAGTAGCACCAGCTGCCTGCAATTATTGCAAGTTCAAATCTCACCAGGCTCAAGGTTGACTCAGCCTTCCATCCTTTCGAGGTAGGTAAAATGAGGACCTGGTTTGTGGGGGCAATAAGCTGACGTTGTATAAAAAAGAACACCGCTTAGGGGGAGGCGAAAGCCCTACTAAGCAGGTATATACAAAAGTATGAAGGCTATTGCTTAACGCATTATAAGCCGCCCTGAGTCTCCGGAAAAGGGCGGCATATAAATCGAACCAATAAATAAATAAATAGATAGATAGATAGATAGATAGATAGATAGATAGATAGATAGATAAAATGCATTGTTATTGGTTTGGGAGAAAGTTAGAGATAAATATTATGTGAAAATACCAATATGGTTATCAACGATGGAAGCTTTAATACACCCAAATGTTTTTAATTCTGGAAATATTGTCAGATATAAAGATTTGTTAACAGATAAGGGGGAATGGAAAGAGAAATGAGAACGGGAAGAACAGGGGATTGGTATATCTACATATATCTGTATATGCAGATAAGAACAAGATATGAAAAAGATGCTAGGTTACATGATTTTTATTTGGAAAAGACTGAGTTGGATAGGATACTCACGGGAACGGAAGAAAATTTAATTAAAAACATATATTTTTTTCTATATAATGAATTGGAGGAGGAACAGGTAAAAGAAACAATGATATCTTGGGGAAGAAATTTTGGATATTCAATTGATCTGGAAAAATGGCAACAGCTATGGGAAAGGAATTATAAACTAACAATGTCCACCGCATATAAGGAAAACCTATATAAAATGTTTTATAGATGGCATATGCCACTGGAGAAGTTAGCAAAAATGTTTAAAGATAAATCAGCAAAATGTTGGAAATGTCATCAATTACCAGGATCCTATTATCATATGTGGTGGACATGCCCTGAAGCAAAAAATTATTGGAATAAAATTAAAATCTGGCTGAAAGAAATGACATAATCATGTATTGAACTCAAACCAGAGTTGTTCCTATTGGGTATCCTACCTGACACAATTAAAAAGGAATATATTTATTTGATTATACACATGATAACAGCTGCAAGAATTGTTTATGCTCAAAATTGGAAAGCAGAGAAAATACCCTTGGAAGAAGTAATAAAAAAGACTTTAGACTGTGCAGAAATGAATCGATTTAACTTCGTTGATTAAAGATAGGGAAGAATCAATATTCTTTAGACTATGGAATTATTTCTATTGTTGGTTGGAAAAGAGATATAAAAGATTAATTTTATAACTACTGTATATACTCGAGTATAAGCCTAGTTTTCAGCACATTTTTAATGCTGAAAAAACCAAGCATCCGAATGTAAATCACATGATCATGAGGATGCTGCAATGGTCATAATTGTGAAAAATGGTCATAAGTCATGGTTCTGTGGATGTGGCGTGGCTTGGTGGGTGTGGCAGGGGAAGGATACTGCAAAATCTCCATTCCCACCCACTCTGGGGCCAGCCAGAGGTGGTATTTGCTGGTTCTCCAAACTATTCAAAGTTTCCGCTACCAGTTCTCCAGAACCTGCTGGATTTCACCCCTGATCTCACTCTCCACTCCATGTGGCCATCTACCCAGAATCACACGTGCTTGGTGGTTCTGCTTCACCATTAAACCATCCTTCCAAGCAGACTCCATGTTTCCAGTGTCTTTCTTCCCACTTGGAACTGAACCCAGATGGACATTTCTTCCAACAGTATGTTTTTCTTGTAAGTCCTGGAGGGAAATTCCTTTCCCAATGATGCTGCTCCTCATATAATGTCCTTAACCTAATGTTTCACTCCCAACCAATTCTCAGAACTAAACCTTCCTCCAAATAGAAGTCATCCAACAGGTAAACAAATCCAGATGACAGAAGATGCCAGCAGCAGATCCCAAAACTCTTGCCCTTTCCAGCCTCCTAGTGGTTCATAGATCAAATAGTGAATCTTCAGGAAGTGGGAAATCAATTGCATATATGCAATACACAGATTCAGTATAATATTAGTGTTTCTCCATGCATTTCAGAGTGGAAATCTAGCTTATATTTACTGGTAAATATTTGGGAGGTTTCAAAAGCTTCATTCCAGTGTCCTTGTTTATTATGACACTTATTACGATTCATATATGACCATGATGGCGAATCTATGGCATGGGTGCCACAGGTGGCACGCGGAGCCATATTGGTGGGCATGCGAGTGTTGTCCTAGTTGAGCTCCAGTGCGCATGCACGCACCGGCTAACTGATTTTCAGGCCTTCCGGTCCCACCAGAAGTCAGGAAACTGGCTGTTTCCGGCCTCCGGAAGGCCTCTGGGAGGGGGATGGGGAAGGCTGTTTTTGCCCTCCCCAGGCTCCTAGAAAGCCTCTGGAGCCTGGGGAGGAGGAAAAATGGGCCTACCAGGCCCACTGTGCCATCGCGTGCCAAAAACAGGGGGAAGTGTGGGGGTCACATGCACATGCGCGGGAGGGCGGGGGGCATTGAATTATGGATGTGGGCACCCGCACCCGTGATCCCCCCCGCTTTTGGCACGCAACGGCAAAAAAGTTAGCCATCACTGATATATGATATGAACCCTACTTGTATTTTATCTTGGCTTGCAAAATAATCTGCCTCGAGTAGCCCCACAGTGAGATAAGTGGCAAATAAATTTCACAAATTGAGAGAGAGATGGGAGAAAAAGAGACAGAGAGAGGGAGAGACTGACTGACTGACCGTTGTTCAACCAGAGGCCACTTTCTTTCTCCTCCCAGGTCCAGGTCTCACCTGATAGGTCTGAACCGCGTTTCTGATGGGCAGGAAGTTGTGTCCCTGGTGCTGAGGCAAGTCCCGGCAGATGACGCAAACGAGCTCCTCATCTTGGCTGCAAAAGAGCTTGAGAGGCTCCTCGTGTTCCTCACAGAAGAACCAGATGGCGGTGCCGCTCAGCTGAGCCCTTTCATCCAGCTTCAGAAGCCGGGCCTTCTTGGCCAAGCTGCAGAGGGCTCGGTTCATGCGGCGCAAAGTGAAGGGGAGCCGGCACTCAGGGCAGAGCCCGCTACTTTCCCCTGTGGGGATGCAGGGCTCCAGGCAGGGAGCACAGAAGCTGTGGCCGCACTCCAGTATGTGGGGCTCGCGAAAGAGGCAGAGGCAAATGGGGCACAGCAGGTCTTCGGTGAAACTGGACACTTCCCGTACTGAAGCCATGTTGGTCGATTCAAAGAGAGCCTGAACAGGTTTTCCAAATTCGAAGAGCTTCTATTTCTGCCTGTTAAGTGAACATAGTATAATAGGGTTGGAAGGGACCTTGGCGGTCTTCTAGCCAAAGCAGAAGACTCTATACCAGTGATGGCGAACCTTTTTGCCGTCGGGTGCCAAAAGTGGGGGGAGCTTTGGGGGTTCGTGTTTGTGCCCACATCCATAATTCAATGCCTCTGCCCCACCGTGCATGTGCGTGCAACGTGACAGCAAAAAGGTGGGCCCGGTAGGCCCGTTTGTCACCCTCCCCATGTTCCAGAGGCTTTCTTGGGGCCTGAGGAGGGCGAAAACAGCCTCCCCAACCCACATCCTGGATGCCAGAAACAACCCGTTTCCTGACTTCCGGTGGGCCCAGAAGGCCCATTTTTCACTCTCCCCAGACTCCAGAGGCTTTCTTGGAGCCTGGGGAGGGTGAAAACGGTCTTTCCCACCTTCCCAGATGCCCTCTGGAGGCCAGAAACAGCCCGTTTCCTACCCGGAAGGCCTAAAAATCAGCAGGCCGGCCCACACAGGGCGCTGGAGCTGAGCTAGGGCAACGCTTGCGTGCCCACAGATATGGCTCCGCATGCCACCTGTGGCACACGTGCCATAGGTTCGCCATCCAGACAAATGGCTGTCCAATCTCTTCTTTAAAACCTCCATCTAATGATGGAGCTCCCACAACTTTTGGAAAGGCAAGCATTTCACTGGTTAGTTGTTCTGTCAGGAATTTTCTCCGTAATTCTAGGTTGGACCTCTCCTTTCACAAGTTTCCATCCATTACTTTTTGTCCTGCTCTGGAGAATAAGTCAACCCTCTCTTGTCTGTGACAGCCCCTCAAGTACTGGAAGACTGAGGCGAAGGGGTGTCTGCCATCCCAGACAGATCAGCCTTGGACACCAAAGTCATGAATCCTAAAATTACTTTTCTTACAGGGCTACAGAAACAGAGTCTGAAGGCACTTCCTGCCTTTATCCTAAACTAAACCAGGAAGGAGAAACCCCGAGATATTTTCTCCAATTGCATTCCTATTTTCCACACAGAAATTTTTTATCTCACCGTTGTCTGGGCTGTGTCTCTTCCTCCAGGTGATTCTCACAGCCGGTTGCAGGGCAGGGAAACCCCTCAATGTGTCAGACCTGCCACCACTTAAACTTCTAAATAAAGAACATCCTCAGCTCCATCTGTTGAGAAAGGCAGGACTTTATTAGAAGTGCATTGCAGTGATGAGTAGCCAGAACTGAGCATTGCATGCCAAAAGCCCTAAGTTTAACCTTCCCCTCCCACCACTCACCCTGTGCCGCCAACCAAGTTGAGGCTGGATGTTTTTGTAATGGCCAGTTGTGTACAGAAAGGTATGCAGCTGGTATGCCAGGTGACTTTGAAACAGCAACACCAAGAGATGCAGAACTTAGGTTTTCCTGCTTCCCTCAGTGCTGCAAAACTTAAATTTTCATTTCCCCCCTTGCCTTCCTCCCTCCTCCCTCCCCACAATTCATGGTAGTCTGAGGAAGCATAAGCAACTATAAGGTGGCAGCTGACGCCATGTTTCTCTGGATCTTCAGGAAAGCTTAATTTTATTATTGTTATTATTATTTCAGCCTTCTTCATTTGAAGAATATTTCAGTGGCCATGAAGCCCTTTTTAAAAAAAACAACAACAAATTTTTACTTTGAAATAAGAAAGGAATAATTCTGAACTAAATCGTTCCAATTATTGTGCATCCCCAGTTCTTTCCTAAGCAACCACAGAACTCAGGTTTTTGGTCTGGTGTGGATCTCTTGCAAGAATCGACAGATGAATGGAAAGATAACCGGAAGAATAATTCCATAGTCCTAAGGGTTGTGAGGAAAACAAATTCTTGGACATTTTAGCAAGACAGAAACTTAGAAGGAATGTGTGTTAATTGAAGTCCTTGCTTCTTGATATCCTTATCAAAATTTCTATGACAACTGATACATTTTTTTATTATTAAAACAATAACTCTTTCTTGAGAACAGTAAGGGTGGGTGGATGGGAAAGTAATTTAAGGTTTGCTAATTGTGAATATTCATGTGTACATTATCTATTACCCATGTATATATATAATTAGTATCATTTTCTCCTCCTTTCCTGAAATGGATACAGGTGGTCAACTTATGACCACAACTGAGACCAGGTTTCCTGTTGCTAAGCGTGACATTTTTAAAAGGAGTTTTTTGCTCCATTTTACAATTTGTCTTGCCACAATAATTAAGTGAATCACTGCAGGTGATGAGTTAGTAATAAGTGTAGGAAGAAAAACAGGAAAACAACAACATCCACCCCCCCAAAAGCGAACAAATTCCCCAATTCTTCCTTCCCTCCCTCCTTGCGCCATTCTTGCCTTTTCCACTTTGCGAGGGAGGAAATTTCCGCCCCTTTAAAGCCACACACACAAAACCCTCCGGAGGCTCAGCCGCTTTTGCAAGGAACGACGACAAAGCGGCATAAACACCCCACCCACCGCCGGCGGGTTGCTTGCTTTGCAAATTCAGACGCCGCGGGAAGCCTTTAAACTTCGCTCGGCCGGTGGTTTTTTTTTTTTTGGTTTTTTTTTATGCTTGCGAAGCTCAAGCGGACTCGCCTCCTTCCTTAAGGCAGCCCTTTTTTAAGTTTCGCTTTCGGTTTTGCAGCGATTCGTGCAAATCAGGCGCTTTCCCGGATCAAACCGGCAACTCTTCTACAGAATGACTGGCTCTCTGGAGGGGCAGCAAAGCAGAGAAGCTGGGAGCTCAGGTAGCTCCTGAGGGCATCTATGGAAATTCTCTTCCAAATCAAAGCAGTTAGATTGGGCGAAGAATGGAGTCGGAGCCGGTAAAAGTAACTATTTGTCTTCAATGATCCCTTACTAAGGAAAGGCAAAAAGGTTTCAGGCTGGCAGCGCTCTTTTATAGAGGGCTGGCAGCCTTTAGCCAATAGATTTAAAGTATTTTCCCGCGGTTAGCGCTGACAGCCCTTAGCCAATAGGTTGAAAATATTTCCCCACGAATTCTGGGAATTGAAGTCCGCCAGGCTTAAAGTTGTCAAGGTTGGAGACCCCTGAACTAGACTCAACCCTGCTTAGGTTTCTTCCAGGTCAGCAAAGATCGGCCTTCTCACAGGTAACTGCAAAAATCGAACACATGATTACGACATATCGTAGGTCAATTGCATTTGAGGTAATTTGCCATCGCTGGCAAATTACTGACTTTTGTTGGTGAGACTAAAGATTCCTATCTCTTTAGCTCAGAACGCAGGTTGTTGCTAGTCGATTAAATTACAATACAGGTAGTCCTCGTCTTACGACCACAATTGAGCCCAAAATTACTATTTTGTGAAATGAGACACTTATTAAGTGAGTTTTGCCCCATTCTACGACCTTTCTTGCCACAGTTGTTAGGTGGATCGCTGTGGTTGATAAATTAGTAACCCGGTTGTTAAGTGGATCTGGCTTCTCCATGGGACTTTGCATATCCGAAGGTCACAAAAAGTGGTCACGTAACCTGGGGAAACAGCAACGGTCATAAATATGAACCGGACGCCAAGCATCTGAAGTTGGATCACACTATCACGGGGATGCTGCAAAGGTCGTAACTGAAAAACGGTCATAAGTCCCTTTGTCCAGTGCAGTTGTAAATTTTTGTGTAACTTTGTATGCGTCTAGTCAATCTAACTAATACAGATAGTCCTCGACTTAAACAGTTCATTTAGTGACTGTTCAAAGCTACACCGGCACTGGACAAAGGGACTTATGACCGTTTTTCACACTTAATGAAAGTGTGAAAGTGTGTCACGTGATCAAAATTCAGACCCTTGACAATTGATTCATACCATATTTATGATGGTTGCAGCATCCTGGGATCATGTGATCACCTTTTGCGACCTTCTGACAAGCAAAGTCAAATGAGGAAGCCAGATTCACTTAACAACCATGTTACTAACTTAAAGCTGCAGGGATTCACTTAACAACCGTGGTAAATTGGGGAAAAATTCACTGAACAAATGTCTCGCTTAACAACAACAAAATTTGGGCTCCATTGTGGTCGTAAGTCGAGGACTACCTGTAATAGCTATCATCTGTTCCAAATCAGAATGGAACCATTTGCTTAACTGCCATTTCTCTACTGGGTTTCTGCTTATGACTTCACAGAGAGCATTGGACATTGTTTTTATTATAGATCTTTTTATCCCACCTAACAGTGGGATAAATTTCAAAAATTTTTACTACTGGTTCTGTGAGTGTGGCTTGATGGGCATGGCTTGGTGGGCATGGCAGGGGAAGGTTACTGCAAAATCCCCATTTCCTCCCAATCAGCTGGGACTCGGGAGGCAGAGAATAGATGGGGGCGGGGCCAGTCAGAATTTTTACTACCGGTTCTCCGAACTACTCAAAATTTCCGCTACTGGTTCTCCAGAACTGGTCAGAACCTGCTGAAACCCACCTCTGCCACCTAACATTCCTTCCTCCTCCTATTTTCCCCACAACAACAATCCTGTGAGTTGGATTGGGCTGGGAGAGAGTGACTAGCTCAATGTCACCCAGCTGGATTTTACGCTTAAGGCATGACTAGAATTCACAGCCCCCTGGTTGCTAGGCCCACACCTTAACTACTGCATCAAACTGGGTTTCTAGTTTTCTATTGCCTTCTGGTTTCTCTACTTTTTATTGCTACTGAAGCAATGAAATCAGTAAGGTTCTGCAACTCTCCACCTTCAAATTCACACAGGCCAACTTTGTTCAACTTCCAAAGCTGAGGAATGGGACAACTCACCAAGGCCAACTCTCTGTGGAACAACTCACCATGGCCAACTCACCACAAGACAACTCACTGCAGGACAATTTAACAAATACAAAAATTAAATTAATTTCAATGGAACTTAATGGAATAGTAATAAAATAAAGGAAGTCAATCCAGAAATATAAGAATTACAGTAATTTCAACCAGAACGTAGTCACCAGTAATAAAAGTAACTAAATTAAATGATTAATACAGTGTTGAATTGTCCCACAATGAGTTGTCCTGTAGTGAGTTCAGGGCCGGATTTTCCTATAGGCTAACTAGGCTTCAGCCTAGGGCCTCAAGATCCAGAGGGGCCTACACAGTGTGGGATTCTGGGGGTTCTAGGTGGCTCGGCCGAACCCTTTGTTAAATTGCTGGCTCCCCCGCCCCTCCGCACCACTATTTATTGCCAATAAATAGTGGTGGGCGAGGGGCGGGGGAGCCAGCAATTTAACAAAGGGTTCGGTGTTTTTTTTGTAATTTTATTGGCCCCCGGAGCTTCAGCATAGGCTAATTGGCCTCCCGGCTCTCAGCTGATTTGTCTCCGCTGTTTTGCTTCCTTCCAAAGAGTGCTGATTTTTTTCCCCCTAGCTATACTGAGAAACGAAAGTGAAACTGCTTTGCTGTTGCTGCAAGGTTGGAAAATTAGGCAGGCAGAATTCCTTTTTTTTTCCTCACCAAAAAAGGTACCTGCAAACAATGGGAAATTTAGGGAAAAAGAGAAGAGTTCAGGATTTTAAAACACAAAAGAAAAAAAAGCTGTATTTAACTAGGGAATTGTAATAATTGAGATACTATTAATTGTATATTTCTGAAAGCAGAAATGGTTAAGTTGTGATTTGGAGGAATATATGGGGGAAATTATTTGGTTTATTATTATTGGTAAATATAATTAATGGATTTGTAAGAAATTGGATTGCATGGAAATAATTGGAATATTCATGTTCATATTGATTAATATACAAAAAAGGTAGTTATATAACTAATTGATTTATATTAAAATGTTGAATTTATATTAAACAACTAATATTACATAATTAACCAATGTGAGGATGGATATAAAAATAGATGACAATGGGAAGGGGTATAATATAGAATAGAAGGGAAAAATTGAATTTGATTAAGATTAGAGATGAGGATGAGGGTAATATTAGTTTTTTACAAAAATAGATGAGGAATAAATATGGCAAAAAGGAAATATAGAAATTGTAAATTTAATTGAAATGACTAAACACTGTTTAAATTTGTGAACCGGCCAAATACTCTGTTCAAAGAAAATAGATTGTATGTTTGTATGTGTGTTTCTAATTATTGTTATTTATTCATATTTGTTCTCTTTTATTCTTTAAAGTTTAACAATTCATTCTTTATCTTAATATCTTTATATTTGTTTGGGGTT